GGTGCTTGCAGCAGAGGGTGACCAACGAGGGACCATGATAAGCTGAGCGTATTCTGCTGGGGATGACGCCAGCGGCAATCTTTTGAGAAACTCTCCGGCCGTGAAATCATGGCTGTAAGTACAGCGCCCTTGAATGGAAATCTTGCTCCAGACTGAGCTCGTTGTGCGACTCAAGACAAGCTTGCCATCTTCCTCAAGATCGGGAATATTGGCGGCCTGATGGGGCTGGCAGCAGCAGCTTTTTCCCACACACAATTCATGCTCATTGGAGTTGCTACAGCACGCTTGTGCAACCCTCCTCTCCTCTTACGCTCCGTCTTGTGGCCAAGCCGAATAGGATGGCCCGGCCCTCGGCACGATACCAATCTTCCGCGATTAGGACCCATCCCACCACGCGGTTTGCATTGATCGTTTATTTTTGCAGTGTAGCTGATCAAGTTCATACGTGGGATCTACTCTAAAGGCTTTATAGATTTACTCGAGGATATACTAAAAGTACCCTATATCCGAGAGGCATTGCGGGCACGGGACAAGCAAGCAGTTTTTGAAGTCCTAGCTTATGCCATCAAGAAGTCGAGTTTCAAGACCCATTGCTGTTAGGACAGGGAGAGGCCCTAATATCGAGTCAGAAGAGCAAATCAAGCATAAATCAAGGAGGGAGCAGTATCAGCGGCGAATGCTAGTCAGCCGGTCTTAGCATTAAAGGCTTCGAGGTCAGCCATAACGGCTTGACATATGATAAGAGCGAAAGCGGCAATGCATATGATTCCTTTTCTATATCCCGCGACGAAATGATTCCAATCGGAACGAATGGAATTAGGAAGTGCTTATAGCCGAACCGTGTAGTGGTGTTTCGCAGACCTTAAGATGGACAACTTTGTGGTTTTGCGGACCCATTTTATGGTTTTGCAGACCCGCTTTATGGTTTTGCAGACCATCTTTATTGTGTTACGGACCCCTTGTAGCGGCTTTACTTACCCCAAGTCTCATTTTGCGCAGTCCAGGAAGGGTTTCCGGCGCCAGCTTAGCGCATCACGCCTCCCAATGTATGCCAAAATCATCTCTCCACTTGCCTTACAGCCATTGGAAAGCAGCGCATGAAGATATATTATGATACAAAGGCGGTTCGGTTGGCTCAGTCTCCAGATCTTGCATTCTCTCTCCAATAATGGCGTGCGACCCTCTGTGCTCTGGCGAACCAGGAATGATGGTATAAGAGCAGCTGCAGGAACGAGGCAATCTGCTGCATCGCTGCATGCGCTGGCTTATCACCTTGTTTTCTTTCGGAATATGCACCTTTGCCTGCTGAACAAGGCAATCAATGGCGTCTCCTCCCCCAGCATACGAGACGTCTACTTCCCCAGGTGCAGATTCGGTAGATACTGACCAAACCACGCACCTGTGGCTAACGCTAACGGCTCTTCTCCCTAGCTATTCCACCTCATCCTTTTTGTTGGATGGAGGAGGAAGCTCTAGGAATTCTCCGAACCTCGCATGATTTTGACCCTATCAGACTTATCTGCAGATTTGTTCCTGGTTTGGATCCCTCCGTTGCTGCTGCCTTACTATCCGAACGGCGGAATGGTTGGCTGAACGCCTTTTTGAAAATCGTTTGCTAACGTTAAGCCATCTAAGAGCCTCCTTGCGACTCTCCCATATCCACGGCCAAGGCGATCGTGGGTATTATTAGACGGAGACGGTTGTCACCTGCGCTAGAATGGAACGGGGCCTGGGTCTTTTCAGCTCTAAATTCCTTAATAGATATCTCTATAATCGCTGAGAAACTTGATGCTCAGATTTACTTGGTGTCCTCTAGGATCACATTTGAAGACTGGCTGGCATGGTCTTATGGGTATTCGAATGACCCTATTTAAAGCCTCCTTAACATGCTATTCAACTTCCGTAATGACCTTGCTCGGTTAGTTTAAAAGCACGCCCCGATGGCTGACAGATTGCAATTGCTTTAAAAGGCAGGATTTTGTTCCTGCATAAGAGACATCGCTAATATAGAAGATAGGTATTGCTATCTCGACACCCTCTACCATATTGGATAGTATTGACTGCAATAGCCTCTGATACCTCATCCGAGCCATCCGAAGCTCTTTGGTTTTTTGTCGACCCGATTAAATAATAGGGTGAAGAGCAGTCGTGCGGTATTTTATTAGTTGTTTGACGGTTTTCAATCTTGAATACACGCTACGAGTTGCATATCACATCTGCGACTGATGTAAAGTGGCTGAAACCTTTCTTAACGCGCTTTTTATTCTGGGAGAGCGTTTAAAGGCAGAGCCTATTAGATCTGGCAAAGTTAAACATGGAGTCTGTGAGTAAGCTCTATAGTAGACTTGCTGTTGAAGACGTCCTTGATGACACTGAGTGCCTGAAGGGTATTAAGAGGCGATGGTTAAACCTTTCTACTGATATCCAGGCATGCTTGATTGTCGACGAAAATTTGGCGATTTACTTTATTGAACTTGTAGATGTATATTGAATTCCCTCTGTACAGCATATATGACTGACTCGAAGTAGCATCTCCTTGACCTACGGAATGTACATTCTGCTGCAGCTATAGGCTTAGCCCTCGAGAGATGGGGTAATCGGCCTTAGAACGCTATGCACTCGCGAGTGTGGGACATTATCAATCCAAGGGACAACTATGCTGGTTGCAGAAAATTTATGGCAGAAAATGTACCTTGTCTTCCCTTACTTTTTCTATCAGTTGCGGAACTACGACGGTTAAAAAATGCAGCAAGCAAGATCATGACGCTCTTTTAATTTCAGGCATACTTCGGAAGATAGAAAGAAGAGGTTGAGCATAATATGGAGAAGGAGCTATTCAAGAGGGAACAAGTAAGTCCTGGTGTGGGATTCTTTAGAAGAGGTTCTCGTATAACTTTTGTATCAGTTGTTATTAGAAACTCATCGAATTACCTTCCTTCCTCTTCTCCTATAAGGCAATTGAAACGAAAAGCTGTGCAGAACCTCAACCCGGAGGATAGGCAACAAAACAACCTGAACACAAAGAGGCGAAAGTTGGAGGATAATGTAAGTTACAATAACACACTTTGAGCCTGTGAAAGCTTGCGGCTAACAACTTGACAGCCCTGTAAACTACAGTCGCCTCTAATTCTTGAAGGTCCCATTGGACGGGGCAGGGAAATTTGGGTCATGCACGGTAATCTTACAACCGAACCAAACGGGCACTTAGAGAACCCAGAAAATGTCAATATAAGTGCTGGTATGCTGGCACATTATATCGCTTTTCGAGAGGAAAATGCTGATGAGATACGGGCTCTATGCATCAAAACAAATTGCCAGATCTTTAAAGAGGCTTGTTAGCAGATGGAGAGGATATTGGTAGAGGTAGCGGATGCTCCAGCCGTTGCCCTAGAGATTCTATCCGGCCTAACCCGTACTTAGATGGCCCTGCTATCGTGTGCTACTATAGTCGCCGGATAGTGTTTCCATGATGTGGTTAATGGTGTGGATTTAAGAGAATGGACAGATGAGGAGAGAGCTGCCTTTACTTGCAAATTCACTAGCTTTATAGCTAGACGATGGGATGAGGAGAGGGTATTAAATAATTAGAACAAGCTTGCTAAGGTCAGTCGGTGGAAGCAAGAGTAATGCTTACACAGAGCTAATATTCATCTGTCTCAGGTACTTATTAACGAGGCATGGGATAGGAAGCGGGGGAAACCCCCTACTACGAAGGGGTATCTGTCTGTATAGGCGGGAATTGAGATCTGGTCGAAGCTAGACGGGTTTCAACGGAATACGCAGGTACTAAGACTTGAGTTAGCTTCGGAGGTACGGTCGGGAAGCGCTACAGGTCATTAGCAGTAGATTGACAAGACTCTTAAGATGTTGAGTGAAACTCGACGTTATAAGGCGATGGAATGTTAAGAGGCGTCCAGCTATGGCCAGCTGATGCCACCGGACACCATCCATAAAATCAACGAGTCATTTCTGTAAGTACGTAAACTTGGTAATGGGAGGAGGGAAACGTTGGCGAGGCTTTCCAACGGCGCCACAGAAGGAAGCCTTTGAAATCATGTAACACGACGCTATTGTCATCATCCCAAAGTGCACTTGTCTTGTTTGTTTAAACTTTCGAGAAGGCCGCGAGCCTATTTGTGCAGAGCAATCGCTGCAGTTCTCCACTGGGTGAGCATGTCAGTAAAGACGATTACCACCTCAGTCGGTAGTTCCGGCGCAACCCGTGGCTCCTCTTAATAAAATCAGTCATAACCCGATCAAGGAACGGCTGGCCATCTTCTGTCATCGATTTGAATCAACTCGTTTTGGACCTTGATGTCGCCTCATCATCCCATGTACTGCAAGCTGTCTTTTTGACGACTGTCACATTGTCATCTCTCTGGCATTGTCATCTCTCTGGCATTGTTATCTCTCCAGTGTCATCTCTCTGACATTGTCTGTGTCGATTGTATAAAACATCTCAAGAAACTGTAGTTGCTAACGCTTGGTTTATTGAATTGAACCGGCATTTCTGTATAGCGACAGTGTGGCCTGCACAACGTCACAAAGTCAAGTGCTTGTTGATAAGGTGTCAGTCAGTTGAAGAACGGAAGAAAACAGCTTAAGATGGGAAAATCGTAAGTATATATCACAAAGTTTGGGTCGTTAGCACTTGGTCATTATCGACAGAGAGAGAAACCGCATATAGATTGCAATATGAAAGATCCGTATAAAAAATGGAGAAGGGATCAATTGGCTATTGTCGCACCAAAATGAGAATCATGAACAGGTTGGTGTCTCATCTAGCGCCATGGTACGGCGGTAACCAAACTCATAACGCTAGTAGGGGTACAAATCACCTTTCCTAATACAGTTTATAGGTCCACATATTTGCAACAACATCCCCAAAACAAAGTCCGCACCAGTCTACCCTCGATATCAGCTCCTAATCAAGTAAGCCAAGTCAAGTCTTATTATCAAAAACTTCTTTGGTGTATTCAAGCACCACTCCCACTAAAGCTATGTATCCTACCCACGTCGAGATCTTGAACCAAGAAATTGATCCCGAGGATAAGACACCAAGCTATTACAGAATTCTGGTGAACAGAAAGCACTTCAAATATATCAATATCGATCCAGGAATATACGAAGTCGATGATCTATGCTTCCCGCCAATCCTGGTGGAAAATCTGCCGCCATTTCCGGAAGGCGACTGGAATTGTGGCCGCATCTCGCAAACGGTGGGAAATCCAACGCCATTCTTCTCAGAGACTCTCAAGAAGACTCTTCCCTCAATCAATCCTCTGTGGCATCCGAAGTCCTATGAGTACCTATCTTTTCAAATCGGAGAGCGACTTAGATCAAACGTCTACGTGGCATCTTCTCCACAATTCGAGAAGCCAATAGTTACCAAATTTGCAAGATTCTACTGGGAGATCGGGTACTACATCGCTGAGACTCGAGTATATTCATGGATAGATGGCCACAATATCGGCCCAGAGTTCTTGGGGTACTTAACTGAAGATGGTCGGGTCATCGGATTCCTTATCGAATATATTGAAGGCCACCGCGCTACCATTTCGGACCTTCCTGCCTGCAAGGTTATCGTTAGAAAGTTGCATGGCTTGAGCATACTTCATCGGGATTTGAATACGCATAACTTTTTGATTTCGGAAAGGGGCGCTGTTCTTATTGATTTTGAGACGGCAAAGCGGTCGGGGAATGGCGAGACTATGGAGAAGGAAGTCGAGGGACTAGAGGAGCAATTGCTAGATGAGTCTGGGACTGGTGGAGTGGTTCTGGAGGAGGAAGACAATTGAAGACTTTGGACAAAAGCCTAACAAGTGTGTGATTTGTTATGTGGGGCACGCGATATAGACAAATGTATGTTGAACCCTAGGTACAGTAACGCTCCGGAGAGTTTGTGACTCATATCATTGTTAAACAGAGCGCGGGATAGTGGTTGCAGGAACGTGTTCTAGGCATGGTATAGCTGATAGCCGGAGATGGGTTCTCTTGTGTCTTCTTTTCCTGACCACATTCCGAATATTTGGTACACAATGAAAATGGGCATATATGTGTGTACAATGATTCATGTTGAAAAATGGGCCAGATTCTTTTTCTAAGAAAGTGTTTGGACGGGAAGCCAGTTTCGTAGATTATTGTAATGCCGTCGACATCCGGAGGCACAAGGGATAAGTTTCGGACATGAACTGTCAACGAGAGCCATGCTTCCCATTGCAATGGTATTAGGCTCCTGGTTGCAGGTTTCTACCAAGTCGGTGTTGTAGAAAAGGTACAGGATAGGTGACAGCGGCGATCCTTGGGGGATTCCCGTAGTTATTTTATAAAATTCTTACTTGGATGCATCGAAGTTGATGACCGTACTCCGGTCTGCTAGAAAACTGGCTATCCACCTGACGGTTCTCTCATCTATTCTGCGTTTCCGGAGGTTGTGTAGCAGCCTGCACCAATGTTCCTCGCCACGAACTCCGAATAACCATGAAAGACAAATGACCCGCTGCATTTGCCGTCCAAGTCCTCTATTTCCCAGACATTAACTCTTAGCTTGTGGTTTTGGGCGGATCACTTGTAGCCGGCGAAAGAGTTGTGATTGAAGAGTATCACGGGCTTTCCCGACACGGTGCTGAGTTGCGGCTGCAGATACATTCGCATTCGTTCGCAAATCTCTCAGTATTATTCTGTGAAGTCCGAGCTGTGAAAAGGAGAGGATGGATGGGGGGCCGGAGCTCTGACGGCGGCGATTTTGGGGAGGAGCGCCGCTGGCGAAGGCTGGACCTGATTCCGTGGAGTGCTGAGACCTTCGGCAGAGTAGGCGTCGAGACACGATCGTGTTCAGGTTGTGTTGAGGTAACTGTCCTGTCGTGCCGCATGGGTAATCCACATACACCCTCCCATAGATCCTGCTGTGCAGCGTTGCCTGGCATGCTATCTCCTTCTGCCTCATCACTCTATGGGCTCGTGGATAGAACGGAGGGTTCTTCTATTCCTCATGGCCCTGTGCCATCTTGCTGCTCCGGACTGTGTGTCTGTTCAGCGATGTGTGGCAAAATTGCTTCGGATTCATCATCGTGGTAGGCGTCCTCACGGGACTGAGAGGGAGTGAGGGGACGATGCTTCGAAGCGCTTTCTCTACCGGCTTGCGAATAGAAGGGTATCAGTGGAACCTGTCCTGTTCCTGACGTGGCCAGTCAAGAACGTTATGCAGAGCCTGTGGAGAGGCTAGCGGAGGAGACAGAAGATGCAACGTATTTAAGAACCTCTTTAAAGCTTATGGCACACCGGACATTACTTTCAAGTGACCGATCTAAGTTAGCAGCAAGATCCATTCTAACAGATTAATAATTCATATGCAACTGGTCCACCGGATCGCTGAGGAGAGCTCTGGTGCCAGCTTCTCAAGAAGAGAGTGACTTGGGAAAGAAGAAATGGCATAAAGGTCCTGGCTGATAGGGTCCTTGCGGGATGGTCTACTGCAAGAGGGTCGGATCAGATTTGTTTGAGTGACTCGCTCAATCGATCGTCTGCTATACCTGGAAGGAGGTGAATGGTCTCTCAATTAATTGCTTGATTAAAAAAGTTTTCGAGAAGGCCACTTAGCCCAAGTGCATCACGGCAACTGCCACTTTCCCTTAAATTGGGCGACAGCATCACGGGAACCACACATGTCCGAGTTCCTATATTTGGACTTTTTTGAACATAAGTAGGACTGAGGAGAATCAATGCCCACTTATCGAAAGATACGTAATACCGCCGTCGATTTATACCCAAACATTAACAGTGAAGGTGAAAAGGGGGTGAGGACAGACGACGGAGCTGACAGATAATAACATTTGAGATGCGGTAGCGTCTCTTAAAATAAGATAAATCCCCTATCTCTAGATCTCCCAGAAGAATTTTAAAGTGGGGGAGAAAATGGACTTTCAATTTCAAATGATGCTTCGGATATAAATACTCTGTGCTTCTTCCTCCTATTAACTCTATAGTTCTTTATCGCCTAGGCAAACTAGCCACCCAAAACCTTGCATCAACTCCATCACCAAAGGAGTTGGAGTTCCCTCGTAGGATCTGACGATGATATTTTTCAATGAAGAGATAGCTTTTAGCTGATAGGGAATTCATCTGAGAGGGACATTGATCTCTCCTCAAATAAAGACTTCAGAAAGTAGATCATTCTCCTACATCCCTCCATTCGGCATTAGAAACTAGGCAAGCATAGTCACGCAATTTAAATCGACCTACAGCACACTCAATTCGCTTGTATTGAAGCGATTGTTTTCCATCAGGAATCATCTTACAAAGCCAAAGATTATACCAAATTAACTCCTCTAAGCATGTCCAAACCATTTAACTACTATCAACATCATCTCCTTCCTCTACAACATCTTCAACATCGTCTGCGCTTTGATAATCGGAGCAACTAGAAGTGTGCAAGCGCTTCCACAGCCCCCCAACTCAGACTCCACCAACCCGAGTAACATTGGGGATAAAGGTATAAAGGCTCGCGCTTGCCTCGCGCCTTCACTTCGATCACTTGTTCTTGAACTTAAACAAACGCTGGACGAAACAGCACCAGAACTCCCAAACCATTGGCATCATACCGAGCCATTTGCAAACTCCGCCGAAACAATCATCATTGGGGAAAAGACCAAGTCAGGAAGATTTGGCAAGAGACGACAAGCGGTTTATAGAGGAAGATACCACAGCGCAATGGAAATTGCAGAGGAGCAAAAGGAAGATGGAGCAGAAGCGGCCTTATGTGGAGCGTGAGGTCAGGATGGGGACGTCAAACCAGGAATATATACCTCAGGCATTCCGGCAAAACTTTGTATGTGGCCCGTGCCCCACTGAACCCACCCCACCTCATCCCACAAGATGGGCGAGATAATCTACTTTAGGAACAGTCTTTGACGAGCTTCATCATGTGACTCTCTCCTGGAAAAGAATAAAATTATCAACACTTTCTCCTCAAATCTTATCTGCTAGAGTGGCTAGCATACTAATTGTCGATGAGTTGGCGGTCGCACTCAGAGGTAACTGCTACTAAGGACCTGGGGAAAACTGCACGATGCAACGATACCAGGGATGACAATGAACGCGCAACTTATCATTATAATACATCAATTGTTTCCGATAAACACGTCGCGCCTCATGCCTGCTTCCGATGTCAACTTCTCCATGTTTCGCCCAGCATCTGATCCCATTCTCGTCGCTTCGCTTTCAACGCCGCTTCCCGCCACTGTACCTGCTCCGCGATGGACCGGCCGACAGAAAGATAAGGTCTTTCTTAGACATTCATCCCAGCAGATGTCAAAGGACAAGTAGGCACACAGACCTTCAGCTACTACCTGAACACCTGCGGGAGGAAGCTTAGTTGCCTCTGGGCCGGACCATGTTCCAGCGTGTACGTATTGCGGGTCGAGTTTGTATGCCAGTAAGCGCTGCTCGTCTAGGTCTGACCATCGACTATGCTTGCTCGTGTGCGAACGTCTCTGCTCGTCCTCGCTCGAACATCCGTCATCGTCGTTGGAATCAGGATCGCTGTCGCTCAAACCACCGTCGTCATCGAGGCTGAACAGCTTACTCCTTTGCGAGGTAATGGCCTCGGCATTGATGGCTGTGCCATGCTGGGATTGGATACGCGTAGCCCTGTGGGTAGGACTTGCCTCTGCGGTAGCCGATGCAGTCATTCCCCTGGACGAGAGTCGACACGGTCTATGCCGGCTGAAGCCAGTCAAGAGGAATGAGTGTTGCTCTAGTGGTTTGATGGGAAAGTCATCAATCTGCCCAACATGGTCGACGCTCTGGATAAGTCAGGCATTTGTCGTTGTTGTCATGCTCCTTCTCCCCCAGCACTTCTACTTCCACCTCGTGCTCTTGCCTTCCGTAATATAGAGCCTCGCACCAAATTCGGAACACAATCCACTAAGTAATGGATCTCACCATCAATATATTCCTTACCAATAATGTTGTGAAATTCCCGTTCACGGTAGGCGTCCTGCGTATTTCACGAAGTCAAAGATGGTAATTTTCGATCTCGAATTGCGTGGCTGGTAGAGCCTCGATGGAAACTGAGCGGAGCTCCCGCCGCCTTGCAGGTCGTAGATCCTCGACATCAATCAATCCGATGGTGCGATGGATCAGCAGAGCGGCGAGGAGGCCTCGGGGAGTTGGGAGTGGTAGCCGATGAAGACTACTCTTGCTCCTCGAAAGCTAGTAACATATCCCTTTCATGTTCAGAGCCGTTTTCCTTCCTCACTCTCTTCTCCGCCGTCCTCATCCTACAGTTCAATCAGAGATTCCCGGCTCTAATGTGCTTCGCGTGGCTCCATCATCATCATCATCATCATCATCATCATGTGGGTTGGTCCAGTCGTGTGATGGCCCAGAGATGCGAGAGCGAGGCTGCCAATAAGTTCTCTCGCGCCTCCCAATCTAGTCAGTCGTGGTATTCACTGTAGTAGATTGGGCGATGTCGGTAAGGAATTGCGCTGGTCCTTTGACAAACAGGAAGGCTGGACGTTCGCACGTGCTTGCTGACAATCTCGATGACGAGTACAACCGCGATATAGGCGACGTGGTTGAGGTCCCACGGAATTGGAAAACTTTCAGTAGGTCGAGTTCTATGTCCCTCCTTGAAGCGGCCAAACTATCCAGAGGACCTTTAGAGTCAGGAATCTCCTCGAAAGTCGTCAGGCTTTAAGTGCACGACATCACACCAGCTTCCGCGGCCTTCCTCGCTGCCTTCTCTGCTGTGTCCCATCTGCGGCTTCAAATCCCTTCGGTCGGTCGGAACCTTCTCTCTCTACTTCTCTTTCTGTGCTTGGCATCGTGCCTCGAAGCGACTGATCAGAGGCCGTGCTTGCGCCTTCTGTAATACATGGCCGCGCACCAAGGTTGGAACCCAGTCCACCAGATAATGTACCTCGCCATCAATACGCTCCTTGCCAATGATGTTATGAAATTCCCGTTCACGGTAGGCGTCTTCAACCTGCGCGACATAGCAGTCTCGGGGGCTCTCGGTGCGTCCGCCAACGACTTATGGGACCATGCACGTCAGACTCACCAAGACATGATACCCGTGGATCTGTTTGAGATTGAGATATTCAGAACGGAATATTTGGATATGTCTGCACAGAAGCGGTGATTGATACTGTCATACAGCAGAGATACCCTTCAGCCTCGTAGAAACATACTTGTCCTTGCTATATCAGATGTGCATGAGGTCGCAAGGCTGCAGTCTATCAGGGTAAGTTGCTGACAGCAGAATACTCTAGCCTGACCAAGGATGATTCCTCACTCCGAGAACCATCTAACAATGAAGCCTCGGGCTCCCAGCACGAGCCACCAAAGCGGGCCCTTCCCAAATTGCCAATAAGATATCTAGCAGAGCCTAAATCCTTAAATCATGCTACACATAAAGACGAGGACATCATAATGCAAGATAGCCTGAAAAAAGACAGCACAGAAGCCCCAAGAAAACGAGCAGCCGTTAGCGATGGGACATCAGCTGGATCTGCCTCCCCTTTCCTTAAATCCGAATATTCGCCGCCTCGAAGGTCAAAGGTGTTCCCCACGTCAGATATAGAGCAGGCGCGGGACAGGGATAATTTCGAGATGCAAAGGCCCTCTAGTTCCAAAAAACGGCTATGGTCCCCAGATGAACCGGTCGCAAGGTCATCGTTTGATTCTTCAAACATTGCATCTGTTGTAGCTCAAAAAGCAAGAGCACAAGCACTACAATCGAGACCAAAAGAATTCAGCTGCTTTGAGCCATCGCCTCGAGCCACGCACGCTCAACCAAACCAAAGTACTCCGGCTCGAAACCCAGCATCCATTCTTAGTAGTAATGTCAATAAAATATCACCATCCCAAAGCTCACAAATTTATCAAAGGGATGACGATTACGACATCATGCCCCAACCAGAAACCAGACCAATCTCACAAGAGCAACTCGTGGCAGAAGTAAAAGCAATCTATGCTGGTCTTGTTATGGTGGAAGCTAAGTGTCTCGAATTTGATCAGAAACCTACGCTCGCTCAAGCTGATGAGGTTAAAAAATTGAGAGATTTTCGCTATCTGACGAGGCGCGAGATATTGGCAGATATTACGAGAACCACTTCCAAACTTGAAGCTAAACTTCGGATCAGACGGCCATCAAACCGCCGCAAAGCCCTGAGAATTAAAATCAAAGACACGGACCATCTAGCCTGTCCAGACTCGGGATCAGAAGAGAACATCATGTCCGAAGACTTCGCTACCACACACGACCTGCTCATCCGTCGCCGACCACAAGACAAGAAGCGCTTTGAGTTGGGCAATGGGAAACACGTCTGGTCAATAGGTCGCGTTCGTGTCCCCGTCGAATTACGCCACTCTCTTACTCGGAAGAAACGCTGGTTCTACATTCCACTATCCTGTCCTGTACATCTGATTCTTGGCATGCCATCCCTCAAAGAAACCGAAATTCTTTCCAAGAACCGACATCTGCTTGAAGAATGTCCCGCTGAGATGAGCAATATCTCATCTTTACTCTGGATCGGAAGTCCTCGTCAGCAAATGAGCTGCTCACTCGACGGCCATCAATTGACCGCCCATGCGGATACGGGATCAGATGTGAATCTCATTTCATTGAAATGTGCCAAAAGAGAAGGATTCGCCATCGATCGCCGACGAGAAGCTCGACGACGGATCAAAGTGGGTGATGGGTCGGAAACCGAGACGATAGGGCAGGTGCTTGTATATAACTTAAGTCTAGACTGGCGAAAATTGGAAACACCTATCCTGGATATGGATTTCGACACTGACAGCTATCAAACCTCTGATTCTGAGGAAAGAGATCTAGAATTTTCCGACTCAGAGTCGAAACCATGTGGAGTGATATTTCACGTCTTTCCCAACCTCCCTTGCGATATCATATTCGGACGCAGTCTACTCGAACAAACCGATGCATTTAATCTCTGCCCCTCACTCTCATCGTCCTCGGGCTTCCCCCTCCAAGATAGTAGCAACACTCGCGCCTTTCATGTACTTATCAGCCTCGGACCTCTCTCCCTCAGCATTCCACTCTCTCGACGAAAACGGCGGACAGCTGAAGTACAGGTCAATGATAAGGATAAACACGATGATGAGAGACATGGAGAGATGTTTCGGCGATCGAGAAGGGAAGATGAAATTTCGGCTTTGCCAGTTCCAGAGCGGGGTATTGCTGGAGTGCGCGAGGCGAGGAAGGCGAGGGAGTGGGATGAACTACATACAAATCGTATATTTTGTGGCCAGGTTTAGCTGTGTGGACTCTGGGACTTGATTTCGTCCATTCGTGGGTGATAGCGCGTGGCGTTGCTGGTGTATAAGCAGCGATAGCAACGGTAGACGCTGATGTTTATATGCGCTTTTATTATATCTATTGGCTTCTATTTACCTCTCTACTTAGGGTCTTGGATGATTTATCTGTACAAATGCCTTGGTCTCATACATACCGCTTATTCACCGTCACAACATTCTCATACTAATCTACTCAATTAAGTTTCTATTTCGAGCTTTGAAATGATGTGCAGTATAAACGATGATTTGGCTTTACTACCTTACCCTGCCTTAGTTATTCACAATCTCAAATAGTACACGAAAAGGTTCTACATTTGACTCTACGATGTATGTCCGAGCCATAGATGTATTATATTTGGATACAATCTTTCAATAACCATTTTGCCAGCAACTTTCAACCCTGAGCAACTGCCTCTGTCTCTACCCTGGCCCCTTTTGGCAATTGTTTCACAGCAACACAGCTTCTTACAGGCATATTTCTCTCCCACACAAACCACTTTGCATACTCAGTATTCATCTCTGCAAAGTAGCTCATGTCGGCCAGAAAGATTGTGACTTTAAACACTTTCTCCAAACTGCTTCCCGCAGCTGTGAGCACAGCCACGAGATTCTTTAGGCAGGCCGCGGTCTGCTCCGCGATCGTGCCTTCGATAAGGTTGCCACTGATGCCGGCGTGGATCTGTCCAGAAACCCAGACGAGTGGTGTCGATGGGATCGTTTTGAAGCCTTGAGAGTACGGCCCGATTGCTGTTCGCGTGCATCAGTCCGAGTGACCATCAGCATAGGAAAGGTAGCATCAAATAGGTACGTACAGTAGCCTCTTTTGAAAATACAGGAGTAGCCATACTTTGCTTGGTTGTTTCAAGCAATGAGCTTTGCTTCCTAGTGAACGACAGTCATGAAGTTCTGAGTTTTGTTCAACTCCATTAATGCCCCTCAATTGCCGCGATCGGATTCCCGCCCACATAACTTAAGAATACAAGGCGATCAGTCATTGACCGGAAATGATAAGGCGCAAAAACTAAACTGATCTAGCTGGACCTTTGCCACAATACTAGGATGCCGGTTTATGGTCGTACCGCGATATCCTTAGCACGAGTCTATATAATAATAGAATTTCCCAATATGGTCCGCTCACAGTCACGCAATTATCAGCTTGAAGCAAATGTGAAGAGTGGACCTGGACTTGTGAAGTTGTGGGACTCGTGTCGATGTTTTGCTTGGCCGAAAAAGGGGCATTGTTCGCTTAGACAGCGCGATAGCCTGCCCTACCCGACCGCTGTTAGACGATATCCTTGTCAAAGCGTATGAGTAGTGCGATCCACGATGGTACAATTTTCCATCATGAGTGGGATTCACGATGGTATAATTCTCCATCATGAGTGGGAGAGCTACGAACTGACTGTTCATTTCTATATATTCTTTTTCCAAAGTCCCGCCATATTATTAAGAAAGTGATAACCATGCCTACAACTGAGGCGGATAAGATGACTTCCGCGGAGAGTGAAGCCGCTTCCAATGGGTCAACCTCGCAAGAAGTCATACTTTCAGTACCAGACTCTCGGCCAAGAGGAATCTTAAGAAGATGGGGTCTCACATTACTTGCGTTCTCTGCCGCAGCCATCAGTCTACCGCTTACGAGCCTCAACTCCCTGATGCAACCAGCACCCATCGATCCCCATGACTACGGTGCTCGTGCTAAAGATGTGCTCTCCAAGACACCCCTGATCGATGGGCACAATGATTTGCCACATCTCATACGAGTTGAATTATACGGCAAAATGTATGATGGGAGCTTCAACTTCAATGATAAACTATTAGGACACACGGATGTGCAAAGAATGCGCAAAGGGCAGATGGGTGGCCAGTTCTGGAGTGTGTTTGTTGAGTGTCCTGAGGCTCATGTTGACATTGATGATCCTACTGTGAGTATAACATTTAGAAGCAGTAAACTTTGATCGCTAAATCCGTAAAGCATCTCGTGCGAGATACACTTGAACAGATCGATATCGCTAGACGTTTTATTCACGAATACCCGTCAACGTTTCAATATTGCGATACGCCATCCTGTGCACGTGCGGCGTTCAAATCTGGTCGAATTGCCAGTATGATTGGGATTGAAGGTGGCCACCAGGTGGGAAGTAAGTTTATTCTGCCATTTTCAACCATGATTGACAGAGACTTATTATGTAGACTCTTTGGGAGCAATTAGACAAATGTACGATTTGGGCGCACGTTACATTACTACAACCCATAACTGCGACAATGCTTTTGCGACAGCAGCTTCAACTGTAGCAGCTGGTGGAGAAGATAAAGGGCTGACGCCTTTTGGTCACGAGTATGTAGCTGAAATGAACCGGCTTGGGATGATGATTGACTTGTCTCACGTCTCCCACCAAACTATGAGGGACATTCTCTCTATTACTCAAGCGCCAGTAATCTTCTCGCATTCGGGAGCATATGTAAGTCCTGTTACCCGTTGATACTTCTCAGGGGCTGATGCAAGAACAGGAGGTTCAAAAGCACTTACGCCACGTACCTGATGATGTTTTAAGGAGTATCAAGAAAAACGGAGGAATTGTAATGGCTGTCTTTGTCAACCGATTCTTGAATATGAAAAATCCAGATCAAGCCACCATCCATGATGTTGTTGATCATATCATGCATATTGTAAAAATCGCCGGCTGGGAATGCATCGGTGTTGGATCCGACTTTTCTGGAACTCCAGCTGTGCCAATTGGATTGGAGGTAAGAAGACTGCTCCTGGAGCTACATACCAACTCCTAATACTGTATAGGATGTCTCAAAATACCCCGACCTTGTTGCCTTACTGGCTGAGCGCGGTGCGACAGATGAGCAATTGCGCGGATTCGCGGGTGAGAATCTGTTACGAGTATGGGGGAATATTGAAAAGAGAGGAAAGGAAATCCAAGTTACGACCAAGCCCAACGAGGCAGTATGGGAAGAGAGGATCAAGGGCTAGGCCACTGGATTTGCAAACTCGCCATTCATGTTCCGGTCTACGAGGGAGAAGTCGAAGAATCTAAAACGCGTACCTCACAACTTCAATGTTAACAACAAAGGAATACACGCGCCTGGGAACTGATTGACTCTAGAAGTAATTAGATAGGAAATATCCTGCAAATGAAATGCTATTCAGTAGAGAATGTAGCATAAACGATTGAGCTTTTGCGGACTTTTGCATACCTTATTATTATTATTATTATTATTATTATTATTATTATTATTATTGTGCTGTAAGAGTCAAAGACTATGTAACACATTATTTCCTTGGCATTATGCATCATTTATTTTCAAGCGCATAGAACCGCCGTGTATTCCCAACTGGGGCTAGCTTGGGCCACGCGGAGAAGAGAGGCGAGGAGAAAGTACAGAGGAGGCACTAGCGCTGGCAATAAAGTTATCCCCGCTAGATCACAATCCCAAGAGCCTCTAGCCTGCAGTAGTCTGTACCTACAAGCTCCGCCCTTAACCGGCTATACGAGTTACGAAACCCTTGCCTTGAACATAAGGTATATCAAGGCCGTTTCCCCTTCTCTGAGGAGAATCTTTCTGCGATACTATGGTGCAGACACTGCTAATCTGCCCCCCCGTGCTTGATACTGCTACTTGTTTCCACTCTCACTAGCCATATTTGGACACCTCCCTCCCCCCATTCTTCGCTCACACCCTGCATCATGACCTGGACTCACATCGATGCTTGCGTCTTATCAATATTCATATGCCTTGTTCGCATCAACAGTGGGTTTGAGTGAGTCCCTACTGTCAAGTTAGAGATGGCGACATGTCCGAGAGATAAGGCATCATCAGCGCTGCTGTTTGCCTAGATGTAGCTAAACCATGGCCAAGGCACAGTAGTATAGGTGCGATATGGTCATTGCATATTTTACTATGTATATTCCTAAATTCCTATATATTCATCCCCTGGCTCTTTTCCTGCAGTGTATCTGTGTTCCTTGTCTCTTCGCTCCATTGTTCGGCTCACTTTAAAATCCGCGATCGAGATGTCTGAGTTCAACAAAGAAGAGGCGGCGACGACGACCATCCAGTCGCCGTCCGAGACCTCTTTCCCTGCCGTCAAGTCAGCACAGGAAAAACAATTGGTCAGGAAGCTGGATCTTGTCCTGATGCCAGGACTGAGTATGTGTTTCCCTTCTTTATGACCTATATGTCACTGACACTTCGTGATTAGTGCTTGCATACTTCACACACACACTTGATCGGGCTAATCTGGGAAATGCAAAGACTGATGGGCTTGAAAAGGATCTTGGGCTTCATGGAAACCAGTATTCTCTGCTGTTGATTCTTTTCTACATTCCCTATGGACTATTCAACATACCAGCAACATTGACTGCAAAACGTTTCAACCCCGCTGTGGTTATGCCAATCATCATGTTCCTTTGGGGCATTTTCGCGATGGCTTCAGCCGCAACCACAAATTTTGGAGGCATATTAGCATGCAGGGTGTTGATGGGCGCAGTAGAAGCAGGGTTTTTGCCATGTGCTATCTTCTACTGCTCTCTGTTTTATTCTAGAAAAGAGCTGGCCTTCAGAGTCTCGGTATTTGGAATGATGGGATTCATTGCCGGTGCAGTCAGTGGTGTTATTGCGTACAGCGTTTTCAAGTGGCATCAAGCGTTGAAGGTATACCGCCCAGCTGGCGCAATTTACTGATAGGGTAACTAATATTCCGCAGGGCTGGCAATATCTTTTTTTGATCGAAGGCGCAATGACTGCCGGGATCGCAGTTTTCAACTTCTTCTGGCTACCCCACAGCGTCAGCAAGTCACGATGGTTTACCGAAGAGGAAGCATTACTCTCTGAATCCCGTCTTCACGAGGATACAAGTTCTGAACGCTTCTCTTGGCCCGATGCTAAAAACGAATTAAAGGACTGGAGAAACTGGAGCTTTGCGTTCATGGCTCTGATGTATGGTGTCGGTTCCAACTCTAGTTCTAACTTTCTACCTGTATGAATTTCCCAATCACCCCTTAACAGACGGAGACTTTAATCACTTGTATAGACGATGGTAAAGCGACTTACTATTGACACGCCGAGGGCCAATCTGTATACTGTGGGCCCAAATTTGACTGCTGCCTTCATTCAGTTGACGACATCCTGGTTTTCGGATAAGATACAACAACGTGCAACAGTAGCAGCAGGAGCTATATTAGTTTCCCTTATTGGTTTTGTGCTTTTGGGAACACTTGACCTTATACATAACGTCAAGGTTGGGTACTTCATCACCGTAAGAGCACCGCCGCAACTTGGTACTTACGACCTAAATATCTAACATGGACATCTAGTATTTAATCACATTTGGAACATTTACCCCCGGAATCTTGGTTCCAGCATGGGTCGCCAGTAACACGCACACTACAACTGGTAGGGCTGTCACATTGGGATTGCTGTTTGCAGGTCAGAACTTAGCAGGAATCATCTCTTCCGCTGTTTTCAGAACACAGGACGCGCCGATTTACAGGCCGGCTCTGATCACTGTAGCGGTTACCCAAGGAATCTACATTCTTGTTTCTCTTACTCAACGCCAGTACTATGTAAAGATTAATAAGAAGCTGGACAGTAGGGAGATCACTAGGGTTGTGGGTATCGAGAACAACCCCGAGTTCCGCTTTGCTCTTTGAGATCATAGCCAAAGACTTATAATATTAAAGTGCAGCTGTTCATGCATCTGAAAGTACTCGCTTCATCATTGAGGCTTAAAATATAGTATTATATGATATCGACCAGCTTATATATGTTCTTTCTCTCAAATCTGCAAGATATATTACTAAAGTGAACCTACTAAGACTAGACTTTTGCCTTCCGCTAATTGGTATATTTGAGTTGAAGGTATATTGGTAGGCCAAGTGCTGGGAATCAACCATAAGACTATCAGAACCCCAAACTACGGACCTACAATTGTAGCGAAGTGATCACCTTGTGACACCAGAACTAAGAGCCCCTTTTCTGCGACTGTTATTATCCGTCCTACTATCGCAGTCGACTCCACCTTTGAGTCCCTCCCTGTCCAATTTAATATTCACTAATCGATTTTGTCCCACTTACGAATACAGCTTTAAAAAGGCGCTATGAAAACCCATGTCCTTGCGCTCTCGAATTCCCGCCTCGGGAGGCAACACAATGGTGGGACAGCTGATAACGAATTGCATGGCCTCGATGGTGCAATAATGCTATGCTATCTCCGTACTATGGCCGCCATGAGACCCACTGCCTGATTGTGTAAAAGTCAATAGAACTCCGTACAACGTAGCAGGAGTGCATCTAGTAGAGAAAGGGACATGCAGGTGACTACATAAGTACTGGATATCTCATGTTTGTTTCCTGAACGCAGATCTCCAAAAGTCTATACCATGGATTTTTACACAGCGTTCTTTTCACTGGCCGGGCTATATGTGGCTATTGTTTTTACTGTTGTATTTTATCTTGTATTCAATGAGTGGACAAGATATCAGGCACGACTGAAAGGTCTCAAGGGCCCTCGTGGATTCCCCGTGATTGGTAACCTCTATCAGGTGAGGATTCTTCAAAGCTCAATGACACTTGCTAATTTATGAAAGGTGCATAACATTCCAGCGGCTGAGAAGTACAGACAGTGGGTGAAAGAGTATGGTGATGTCTACCAAATTCAGCTCGGGAATACCCCGATTGTGATTATTAATTCTGCCGCTGCGGCTAAGGATCTACTTCTCGCTCAAACTTCTGCCTTGAATTCGAGACCTGTTTTTCACGTCTTCCACAAGGTTAGTCTTGATGAGAATTTAGAATATAACAGACCACGGTCTGACTCTACACAGATAATATCCAAGAGTGTGCTGTCAATTGGGACTTCGCCATGGGATGACAGCTGCAAGAGACGAAGAAAAGCGGCAGCAACCGCTTTGAATCGTGCCAAGACTGCCGATTATCTCCCAGTAAGATTGGATTACTTCGATATTCTCGAGGAATCCTACAATGTACTAATACTATACAGATTGTGAAACTGGAAACTACTGAGTTTATTAGAGATCTTTGGAGAGTCGGCAAGAGTGGGCAACTCGCAGTTGATCCTACACCGATCACACATCGGTTGTCATTGAATCTCAGTCTCACCTTGAATTATGGATTCAGGTAAGCTGCGAGATTATCGATGGGGAAGACCAAGCTAATTTAAAAAAAGAGCCGAGTCGGCTAAAGCTCTAGAGACCTCTCCATTACTGTTGGAGATAATGCACATCGAGACAGAGATTGGTAAATTGAGAAGTACCGGAAGTAATTATAGCAACTATATCCCTGCTTTAAGAGCGTGGGACTATCTGAAAGAGAGCTTCGGATCCGGCAAAGGCAATGCCTACGCGAAGGAAATTGGAAGAAGACGTCTTGAGTAAGTGACGAATCTTTAATATTATAATAATACTATAGCTAATTATATGGAAGATATAATAAAGTTTTGCTCGATAACCTTAAGGAAAAAATAGAGAATGGGAATGACAAGCCGTGTATCCAAGGCAATGTCTTGAAAGACCCCGAAGCCAGCAACCTGACTGAGGAGGAGCTACTAAGCATCAGTCTCAGCATGATGGCGGGCGCAGAAACAACAACCCCAACCATTGGCTGGGGGATTCTACTACTTTCGCAACGGCCAGATCTGCAGGAAAAGATTTATCAAGCTATCAGGGACTCTGGTATTACTGAGCATGATCCTTTTAGTTCTGCCGAAGTTCCATACTTGAAAGCATTTACAAAAGAGGTCCATCGATACTACACGCCTCTGCGACTAGCCTTACCAAAAGCAACCTCCGGCGACGCGGTATGGGAAGGGCATTTGATTCCCAAGAACACAATGGTGTAAGTATCCAACAGCATCCTCTCCTGATATTTGTCATCTAATAACATATCCAGCTTCCTTAACTCCTGGAGCTGCAACAGAGATCCCGCCGTTTTCGAGAACGCCTTTGACTTTATCCCAGAACGATGGCTTGAGAAGGAAACGACAGGAATCTCTCACTACTCTTTCGGCTATGGAGGTCGAATGTGCGTCGCCTCTCACGTTGCAAATAAAGCCGTCTATATGGCATTTTTGCATTTGGTCCTAACATATGAGATTCTCCCCGAGGAAGAATCGCTTGCCGACATCGACCCTATTCAAGGAATCGAAGATGTCAAACATACAAGAGCAGCACCAAAGAACTCGAAAGTTTACTTTGTGCCCCGAAATGAGAAGCATCTGGCGGAGTATCTCGAGGAGTAATTTAGTTTATCTATTAGTACCTAGGCCGTGCACAGAAATATTACTGATTGAAAATCTATATAGTATAGTATATCTGCTTTTGCTTTAGCTCTTAGTTACGTAACCTATGTTATATACCTAGGTATATACAGCTAGCATACTCGCTCGCTAGAATCGTTAGTAGTTGCTTCTAGAATGCTCCCGTGCTCTATATAAGCTAAGGATTCGATTCCCGCTTGTGTTTCTATCTCGAGATAGTGTGATCGAGTTGAATATTAAGTGTAAGAAACCCTAGATTGAACTTTGCTCCCACGGCCCGATTATTTTACCCCCCTCAAACATCCTCCGGGCTTTCTCTCCCTCTCTAATAATAGGGAGCATAGATTACCCTCTGCGGCAGATCTTTGTGTGATTCAAATAAACACCGTGCAAGAGATGGGAAAGTCGGTCACAGGGTCGATTTCTTGGATTTTCAAGGTTATTAATATGGTTTGGAATATAATGGATGCGATTGAATTCTTGCTTGGCAGAGTAGAAGTTGCAAAGAGTATTTTTGCGTATATTACCTAGTTGTTGATAGGTATATATCTGCTGACATCAGCATGACTGACCATAGAACCAGTCTTCCATTGGTCGATTATATCCTTTTCTCTACACATTAATCACAATATATGACTTGACTCCATATACTAGCACTAAGCCTTTCCTCCATCGTATATTCTGTCGTTATTATTCTAATAGTATGTTTCATAGGGTTATAGTAGTTTTAAAATAAAGCACAGACAACTATTTACTTCCCTAGCGAAATATTAATAAGAATGGCTTCAAATGTCAAGAATACAAAGTCGATATAATAGAGTTAAAACAGGTAGGAAAACCCTTCTTAATTCCAGTGAGAGTAATGCTAATATAGAAATCCTCTCGGGGGAACATGAGTATAGTAGAGTATATATGACTTAAAGAGTATAATACCAGACAGAACAGATAAAAGTATCATATGTATTAGGTGCATAGATAGTGCCCGTAAACCCGTCTTGGGACTAGTTTCATAGAAACCGAGTTTATAAGCCTTAACTTGACCCCTCTTCCCTGATCTCTTTATAGAATGTGTCTATAGCAAACTCCTCCCTGATCACACTAGCAACCTTCTCAATACCAACTTCAATTTCGGATTCATCTGCTGCTGCAAATGTCATACGAAAATAAACCTTGGTTATAGGGGTCTGATTTGTACTAAACAATGAACCCATAGTGATTTGGACCCCCTTTTCCAAGGCTTTAGCTAATATCCTAGCCTCGATATCACAAGCCGGGTTATCTGCAGGCGATAAATTATGTTCTTTCTGGTCCCTAGAGAGTATGATTGGATGTTTCCTTAAATCGAGACTTGTCCAAAGAAACATTCCATTCTGAGGCGGTGTCCATTTGCAGACTTCTTTCGGAAAATATTGGTCACAGGCGTTGAGCAAGATCCTCAGTCGACTGCGATATTGTATAGACAGCTGGTCCAACCAGGAGAAGAATCCGAGATGACCCCAGGTGGTATCAAGAAGATCCAAGAGCATCAATTGCGTTGGCCCACTTACTGCCACGGTGCTAACTTCGTAATACGCAATGAACTTGTCGATGATCTGATCACTGGCAGTCACCCAGCCAGCACGAAGTCCTGGTGTAAGGATTTTGGAAAACGAGTCGAGTCTGACAATACGGCCAGATATGTCAAGGGCTAGCAAAGATGAAGGCAGACTAGCAAGGTAACCTGATGCTGTGGCCAAGGCGTCTCGATCGGCACTGTTTAACTTTTCGACTGTATCAAGGCCTAGATCCATGCAAAGGAAGTAATACGGATCGTCTTCGATGACAACCAAATCATAATCTTCCGCTACTTGGTAAATATCGTTTTTTCGCTGCAGTGATTGGGTTACACCTGTTGGATTTTGTCCCGATGGAATCGTGTAGAGGACCGTAGGCCGAGGTCCTCGAGACTCATCCCAAGTGCGGAGTGTTCGCTCCAAGGAATCAGGCATTAGCCCGAAAGCGTCCATTTCAATTCCAATGGTATGTACGCCGAGTAGATGTGCAACTGCTACAGCCCCAGGATACGTATAACTTTCTGTCAGAATAGAGTCTCCCCGATTGCAGAAGATCCGCAAAGCGACTTCAAGCGCAGATGTCGACCCGCAGCTGAGACATGTAGCCCAGTTCTTATATGGAGGATTGTGAACAAGCTCTACATGCTCAGTTACGAACCGGAGCAATGCTGGCAAACCAGCGGCATGGCTGTAGTTGAGACCTCTAGCAATGTCATAATCACCTCCCTTCTTGGCAATCGTGCGAGACTCGGGAAGCATATTAGCATTGTTAGTACTACAGGCAGAGCTTATTTCGCGGCGAATCGGGGTTTTATAAATTGTGACGGAGTCCCACGGATAAAATTCCGAGGTTGGTCGCCCAGTACCTAGGGGAATCATGTGGGTTTTAAACACCTGATTGGAAGACTTCTTGAGTTCGGAGCCAAAGAAGTTGCGACTCTCGACACTCAATCGATGGTGTAACGATCTGCTTTCAGCATGACGATTGGAGTTTGAGGATTTGAATAAATCCGATGATGTATATCCAGCGACTGTTGTGGAAAGCAGGCCAGAATTTGCTCGCTGGGTGTCAATGTCGGAGATGGTGAGAGGAGGCATGATTAGGAAACATATATCAGTTGAACAGTCCGTCGCGTGATTTATATATATGAACCGAGCATAGGCGTCGGGGTAGTATGTATATATAGGCAAATGGCTCGGGGCAGCCAGTGGGAAGCCTGAGATCTTGATCTCTCATCCTGGATTCGATGCTCTCAAGTGTTTGCAACGGCGATTATTCCTCTCCCGCCAGTTTAATTGGTTGGGATACGAGCGTGGCTACCTGTTCCCTCCGCTATCGCACCATCGCAAACTTCATGGCAATGCCTCGTCGGTGATGATGCTGGTCTGCTTCGACGATACCTCCGTGCGTTGCAACTTGGCCAATCAAAGAAATGCCTCACAACGATGTGACTAGCTTCTGCCTGACTATGCCGTAAATAAGTTACGTGTCGCCCACTTTCTCCCAGGCAACAGCCTCAAACGACTTGGAATTAGCAAACTAAGAGACTATTATTAGTGAGGAGTGTAACCGCGGCAGCTTCCAGCTGCAAAGGGGCGGAGGTATTCACAATGTTTGTCCAGCAATAATATACACTCGGGCGATAGGTATATTGATCGCGAGACGTAACATAGGTCCCTGACTCGTCTGGGAAACTGGAAGTTGAGCCTGTAAAGTCACCCAAGGTAATCGTGGGTCCTTTCTTGCTGAAATGAATGTCTTCGGCTGGCAGAGCAATGATTGGAGCAATAGCTACAGCGATTGCCAGCAAGCAGGGTTGGTATTGCATGATGAATGAAGACGAGGTAAAAGATAGTAGGCGATATGATTAGATTAGATTGATTTGTAGATAGGAGCGGAGATAGAAGGCAGGATTGGTGCTGATGAATATGCTTCAAGAAATGGAGGAAAGAGGCAAGCTTCACAAGAAAACAGGCCACTATGTTCCTCGTCGTGTTGCTGTGTGTTTACTAAAACAGGATGGATGTTGATCGCTCCAACGTCACTTTACATTTTATCATATGTCTACTTTAAACAGATACACGTATGGAAGGAAGGCTATGCTACTCCTCTAAGGTCACTGCATCAAAGTCAAAAGAGTTGAGTCGTACAATTCGCACCTATACTTAGGACTCCTAGAAGCGGATGGTGTACAAGCGCAGAATGTGCAATTCGACCCCAAGACACTGCATCGGCGGAGTAGCAAGGCGTTTGTAGCATGGTTGCACAATTATCAACACAGCCATCCTGCTGTAAACCAAAGCTATACGGATAGGTGTAGATACAAGCTAAACACGATGATTATTTGCCCTACTTTAGACAACTCCGCGAATTGGATCTTAGTGATTCGAGTATTATGGTGAGTATAACCAATTTGATACAAGCGTTGTATAAGGATTTACATAGTAGGACGAGTGTATGCAGATGTTCTCTACTCTGAAAATAGCCATCCCCCGAAGGTATTGCAGGCCTGATTATTTTTGATTAGTATCCCTCGTAAGTTATATTAAGCCAGTCTTATAACGCGACCTCCAGGTGAAAATGCAGAATCCTGTGCTTGATATCCGCTTGATGTATTGATAAATAGAGTTAGACTATAATAGGTAAAAGGGGTAATTCTTACAGGGATGAGATGGCAGCGGAAAAGGCAGCGGATGCTATTAATATAGTTGCTGATATCGTTATAGGATATATCATTAACCGTTATCTGGAATATGCAAGTAGGAAAACATAAAATGACTGTATCATTTAGAAAGTGTACTAGGTTATGTATCAGGATTATGTAGGGCGTGGGGAGGTAATAGAGGGTTAGCAGATCAAGAGGCACTACTCGTAGTAGGAGGCGCTTTCACTACAGCGGGGCGTCAGTTGATGCCAATAGATTATAAGGCGGATGATTCGATACCCAAGAACTGATCGCGAAATTGTTTATTGCAGGAGGGTCATAATTGGAGAACTATTTAAAGATAGTGAATTGTTGATCAGCGTATCCAATAGAGCTAGCTGCTTAGATCGCGGATTAAGATAATAGGTAAATATTTTGAATTATGGTTCTGAAGTCTGACTTAGAATAGCAGGGGCGGATATAGTGACCCAGCGGCCGGCCCTTCATGTGGCTGTATGAAGTAGTCCAAACTTATTCAGGACATCGTTTCTAAATCAGAGCCGGTATCAGAGTCACGGATGGATTATAGAAGTCGTTGATTTCAGCAATATAATCTCGCATCCTAGGTTAAGGGTATAGAAACCGGCGCACACATGAAAGCCGCCCTAAATACTTATTGGAGGAAGGCTAAAGGACGTCGAATTTAAACGTTGAAGACTATCCAGTGAGATAAACTGCACTTATTGCCCCAATAATAAGCAAGGTAGCTGGGATTTAGCTGTCCGCTGAACAGCCTTTACTACATCTAGAATGTGATGAGTGAAATCAAATGCAGAATAGAATTAGATCGCAGGACAAAGACACCTAGAGAAGCAGCAAACACGAAAGAATGATACAATCTGTATTAAGCAACTTTGCTGAATAAAGTAAGCTTAAAAGGAATTCCATCACAAATGTATCAGCGTCAGCCTTGGGTATCGCTCAATTCACACCTCTATCTACGGTCTATAACCCCCCAGCCGGTGGCACATATGGAGTAATCAGCATCTCACTGAATTTCTCCAATCTCTCCTTCCCTCTGACCTCCTCCACAAGTAGCGGCATCTTAACCACGTTGAACTCGTCATACAACTCCTCGATTTGCTCCAAGTATTTCTTCTGCATCTTCCGCCGCGAATTACACTGTTCACAGTTACTGCCCGCAACAGGAAACAGCAGCTGATTAACGACGATGCAGTGTGTGTCGATGTTGTAGCTTGCCAACTCTTGGATCATTCGCTCAGTCTCGTAGAGGGAAAGGAACTCGGGTATGCAGACGCAGACAAAGGTGGTGAGATTCTCATCCTTGAACTGAGTATTTACTTCGCCGATCGTTTCCCGCAGTCCTTCCAGCTTCTCCATCATTTCGCTCAAGTTGGCACCGTTTGGAAGAGAGCCATTCGCACCGAGAAGACCATTCAGCATGGGGCCGAACTGTGACGAGAGTTGGGAGATCTTCGCAAGCGCCTTCTCGAGAACGGTAGGGAATTGGAGGAACCGGAGGGTATGACCGGTCGGAGCGGTGTCGAAGATGATGGTTTCGTAGGAGAGGGATTTGACCTGCTTGAGGACTTCTGCAAAGGACATGGCTTCGTCGATACCAGGGATCTGTTTCCGTTAGAATCTGATTTGTGCAGGCTTTGGGAAACGTACAGCAAATGCCAAATCTTGCATCATTCCACCCATTCCAGCTGCTGGTCCTTCACCTTCTTCCGCTTGCCCCATCAATTCTTGTATGCTGCCATTAGGATCAATCTCCATTGCGCTGAGGTTCGTGAAGCCATCGATGAGTCTAGCTTCCTTGCCGAACTTCTGCGAGAAGGCATCTGAGAGATTGTGGGCGGGATCAGTCGAAATGAGGAGGACAGAACGGCGGACTTTGGCCAGCTGAATAGCAAGGGAACAGGAGGTCGTTGTCTTTCCTACACCTCCCTTGCCTCCAACGAAGATCCACCGCAGCGTCTTCTGGTCGAGGATGGATTGGAGGGTGGGCTCGAGCTGATCATCGTCGGCGTTTACGACGGCTGTAGACATATTTGCGGTTTGAGGTGAGCGATTTGACGTGACGGGTTTGGAGGCGCGGAGATGATATACCGCCGTGGAGCAAGGCGATATATGACATCTTCCTGGTTCGCCCGCTTCTCTCTGCCAAGATTCAACGTCTAGCGGACTATGATTGGCTAGAGAGTGACTCGGCTTTCAAGACTTGGAATTCGTCAGAAGACATTGGAATAATCATTTTTGCAGTAAGCCATGACTTTTTTTGAGCAGCATAGAGCTTGATTAATGCTGGTTTTTGTATACTTTGCTGGCTGAAATGGATTTCGTTGGTCAAGGTGGGCTTGAAATGAATAGAAGCTCGAGGCTGACGATTTGCGGTTGGAGTGAGAAGGGTGATTAATTATATAAACATACTTATCAAGCTGCAAAAGATAATGCAAGTTCAAAATTGATAATAACCAGAGTAAGATGTCTATATATTTCATCTATAATTACAAGCATTATGATTTCTATGCATCCTATTAACACCTTGGTTGGCATCTACAAGTAGTCTTTACTGGGTATAAACACCAAGCCTTGGCAAGGCTGAGCGGCGACCTCCGACTTGCGATTTAGATATTCCAACTCTCTACTTCTTCACCACTAACAACTTTGCGAATAACTTTAAAACACCTCAATTTTCCTCTTTAAACTTCTGCTTCTCCCCTCAAGCAAGTGCAGTCCGCATTCAAGTAAGAAAACCCCAATTCTTGCCCGTTGCCCCTTCTGACTCCCTAGATTACCCCTCCACGCGCACGCGCCCACAAGCTCTGAACGGGATCAAGTCCCAAGCTTCATCCTTCAACTACCCTCAACTAAACACCAACCAACTCACATCACCCCGAACAAGATGGCGACTCCTGCCAGAGATCCAATTACCTGCCACGTCCTCGATACTACGACCGGCCGTCCAGCACCCGAAATATCCATCAATCTGATCTGCACCACAGCCCCAGATATTGTATTCAACTGCACAACAAACGCCGACGGTCGCATCTTGCTATGGAACAACACACAAGGCCCCAATGGGGCAGAAGGGTCATTCGTCAAAACCCATAGCGGCGTCACAGCCACTTTGCACTGGCTGATTGGACAATATGCGCAGCAAACAGCGACGTCTGCCTGCCCCGCTGGGTCGAGTGTCTGGAAGTTGCAGTTTGATACAGGGTCCTACTACGGTGCTGGCAATACATTCTTTCCAACGGTGGAGTTGACGTTTTTGGTGAAGGAGGGGGAGCATTTCCATGTACCGTTGCTGCTGGGTCCGTATAGCTTCACGACGTATAGGGGAAGCTAGATGGCATAAGAATCCATGATACCAAATATTTAATGATTACTTCGTTGTACGCAATACTGTCTCCTTATCCCATGACGCTAAAAGCAGACCTCTCCATGCAAACTCCACGCTCCAAGCCCAATGTTATAATTTGGCAATAAGCCATCAATCTTTATGCAGATTCGCCTTGTGCAGCAACCCTTTCTTCCTTTCTCCATCCCTATATCCTTGATCATCTCTGTTCACCGCACCATTCTGCAGAGGTTTTTCCACTGCAGATCCATTTATGACATCTTCCACGTCCTTTCCTGCCACCGTTGTATGGTGTTCTCCTTCTGTTCCATTCGTAGCGGTGTGCTCAGGTGCAACACAGTCCTCTTCTGCATTGCTCTTGTGGCGCGAATGGTGTGAATGATGTCTGCCAAAGAAGGACAAATGACGACTGCGACTTCGACGAGGGACGTCTTCAGCTTCAAGAGTGGCGTTTTTCGAAGTGTCGGCGTCTGGATGTGGTAAAGTGGTGTTACGATCTTCCTCGTGTTAACCGCCGTATACGGATTAGGAGCAGGTATCCATACCTTCGCTGAACGGTTCTGGAAATCCGGTGCCTTTGCCCGCCGTGGTTTGATGCTTTGGTAGGTCATGGACGCTCGCCATGGCAATTGCGAGGTGATCTTTATATTTGCGGTGTCGAAAGTTTAGGGAGAGGGGAAGATCGGGTGGGCAAGGAGTGCAGCGTGTATGCGGGGAGACTGTTCTAGAAGTAAGCGCTTGAACAAATGAACTGAACATCGGGTAGGCAGTGCAGTGTATTTAGCCAGGCGATTGGATGTGAGTGATAGTTGTAGGAATGCCCGTGTGAGAATCGTTCCTTTTACTATTAGAATTGGCGTGAAACTGGCCTCGTGTGAATGTCCGAAGCACAGTCACAGCTGGTTGAATCATTTGAAAGGACTCGAGTTTGAGGCTGCTTTTTGCCAACGGCGAGGAAATGGATTTCGTAACTTACATTAGATACCCAGGTAGCCAGTGTAGAATAAAGCGGTTGCAAATAGGTGGTTGTAGGAGGAATTACACGCTAAGATTCTCCAGGTGTTGAAAGCAGAAATGGCTGGCAATTACCTAGGTACTTCCCAATTTTAATATTCCTCGTTGGTGACTTCCATGCGGTAGCCTTGTCAGGGGGGGCTCAGCGCGATGACGCTAACGCCAACGCAAATCTCAGCCAAAAGCGACAACTCTGCACCAACCCTTGCATAGCTGGAAAGGGCATGGCAGATTATACGGAACATACTTCGTGTTGTGGTCTTCAGTTGTTCATTGAGGCATTCAAGGTGTGAGTGACTACGAGGAAGTGCTCTCTAAAGAATCCACTATAGTACTTGGCTTCGCTTGGCAATCGAACCCCACAGTCTTGCCAAGCATCCCCCACCAGATCTAGGCTTCTTTTAGAACGACAACACCATTAAGAGTGAGAAGAACTTCATTCTTAGGAACTGCTGATTCTCTATTCAAAGGCTAGAATGTTGCAGCTGGCAGCCTCAGTTACTCAGTTCCCCCCATCCATCTCAAGTGACATGCAAGCCGTTTGCCACATCACAATAAGAACTGTCTGAAAATACATGTTTGCTTCCCTTGATCAACCTCGTCTCGCGCTCTTCTTTGGTTGACTCGAACCATCTCCTTCAGGCTCGCTATCCCCCATGACAGCCATGCCAAGCTTACCAAGACCAGCCGTCGAATCCCAGCAGCATTTCGCCCCTACGCTTTTTGCGCCTCTTCCCTGGCTTCCTGGATGATCTTCTTGGATCTCTCGCGCCAAGATTCCCGCGCCTGTTTGATAATTCCAAGCTCCTTGAGTCCCACCTCAGTTGTGAGCAGTGCATCGGCGATATCATTTGCCTTCTGGCACTCCTCCCAATAATTCAAGTACTGTCGGTTGAACGGTTGGTTGAGATCCCCATCAGCACTCTCTGCAACCCGCGCGCCTTACTTCAACTTTGCCAGCCAGGCCGGGTAGTCAGGATGCTGGGAGACGGTCTTCACAGTCCATTGACCGGCAACTTCACCATTGTTACCGTTGTAGGCGCTACCATCCTCCCGTCTCATGATAGTATCTGAACCACATAAAAGTGTTAGTAAATATTATTTATTCCACAGCACACAAAGTCATAGACGCCTAATAATATGAAGGAACATACCGTCAGGGGCACGAGCAGGTCTATTGAGCTCTGTATTCTTATGGTTCGCGCGATTCACCAGAAGCGACCTATCCCTAAGACAGTAGGCCGTCTCGAACCAAGCGACCTCTAACTTATCCAGATACCCATCCTCCAAAAGAACCGCGAAAGCCATAACCACGAAGTCGGAGAGTCGGCACCTCTTGATGCGCGGGTCGATAACTGCGAGCTTGGCAAAAAAGTAATCTGGGTCTGGATTGAAGAGTGGTCGGCTGGCGACCATGGCATGGTTGATGCTAGGAGTCATTTTGATGCTGCGTGGATGCACGTGCTTGCTGGAGTTCGAAGTTGAGGTGGCGAGCGAGGATGTGAGATGGCAGACGGAGGAGTATTTGTCGAAGTGAAAGACTGCAGAAAACACGTTAAGTAGGACGGCGTCAATCGCTGAGTTTGAGGATGTATGCCAGGAAACCAAATGTTGAGGTACCACGGAGATTGAGGCCGATGTTGCAGATGAGCAACGAGTAAGTTGCGGGTGTTGGATGATGAGGAAACGTTCTTTGGATGGATGGAAGAGGAAAGAAGTTAATAAGTGCTCGAAATTTTTAATATCTTTCCCCACCTTAAAATTAGATCTCTATAAAAGTGAATTGCTCGATTCACTTAAACCAAACATCACCGTCCAGAGTTAAAGTTAAGTGTTCTTGGCAACCAATATGGCAATTCGAATACTGGACCGCACTTAATAAAATGAAGGATCTTAAGTGTTACAAGTGTATTAGGAATGTAGGTACTAGCGTAGCGTAAATATATACAAGAGAAAACATTGCCACGAAACCGTTACGGCAATATACCTGACAATCCTTATATCATATATTCCCTTCTTGCCATTCTCCGCATCCTGACATCTAGATGACATACTAAACCATGTTAGTGGTTGTTCATATTTTGCAAAGAGAAACTCACAGGAATAAATAGGTAAGGCACCAGCTTTGTGTATTCATCCCAGCTCTCACCATACTTAACCTTGCACCTCTGGATGTCTCGGTAAGCCCTATGCACGATCATGGATGCGAAGAATACAGGATAAAACCATGGGAAGGGGCTGTTGAAACCGGTGACAAGACCCCAGGTAAGCGCAAAGTACAAGTCACAGGTGTAGTGGATCTTGCGAGCATAGCCATACCAGCCATCAACGAGGATAGAGTCGCCAGTCTTAGTCTTGATGGTGCGGGGATTCTTGACAGTTTGCCATGGAAGTTGAGGGAACGTCTTGCGCTCGACCAGAGTTCCACGTTCTTGGGCTCTGAATCGGTTCTTTTGCGAATTGGTCGTATCCCAGATCCAGTACATAAACAGATATGAAATAAAAAGAGGGGCCATAACATAGGGACCCCAGTGGTAGGTTGAAGGTGCATGATTAGCAAGGTATAGTGTGCAGTGGCAGTAGCTCAGAGGAACACCAGCCAAATTCCAGAAGATGAGCATAAATCCCCATTTCTCATAATACATATCCCTAGAAAGTTAGCAGTTGTAACGAGAAATCAGATGCTATTTCTTACCAAGTCGTAGTGATGCATTCTTCACCCTTGGAGCAGGCATTGGCGTACAAAAAGTGGGCCATAACCAAGAAGCAAACTTCGGCGGAAACATATCCAAATTGCTCATATTGACGAGCAGCCGTTCCACAGGTAAGTCCGAAGAGAATATACCAAGGAAGGCGCACCTCGAAGAACATCTTGAAATCCAAGACGCCAAACAATCGAGGGTTCAGCTCCGCGCCCATGAAGAAGTCATAAAGCGGGTAGCCCGTCATGCGATGCTGGGCACCTCTAGCAAGAGCTGAGAAGTATGCAATAATTGCTACCAAGTACCCGGAGCAGATTGCAACAGACATCAGGGGTCCGAACTCATCGATGATGTTATACAGTGGGAAAATACCGGTGTAGTGTAAGACTCCCGCAAGCACAATCGTAGTGTAGAAAGACCATACCGCCGAGCAGTAGTATTTCAATTGCTTCCCTCCTTCGTGTGCTAGAGGTTTGCCATAGGTGTAAACTCCGGGGAGAAGGCAATAGCAAGCACCTTCGAAGATGAAGAATGCCCAGTAAATCTCCCACGCGTATAGGGACGGGTAGGCTTCTTCATAGATCAAGTTTCCCAGATGTTTGAAGAAATCCGTATAGCTCTGGCCCGGCTCTGGTGTGGGAAATTTGCCCTCGTAAAACGTCGCACCAATCCACATATAGTACATAAGCGTTGGAAATCCAATCATCATCATAGTGACACCGAGAGACCCCCCGAAGTCGAAGTGTCCACTGGAGTCGATCTTGGGGTCTGTTCCAACCACCCAGCCGTCGATAGCCTCAGCCTTTGTCTTTGCAGAGCCATTGGTCGTCACACCATTGCCGTTTGAAGCGTGTCCATTTAATACCGACCCATTGTTGTCGACCGCAATTTCCAGCGCAGATCCATTTGTCTTTACGCCATTACCATTCAAAGCATGTCCATTTGTTACCGATCCATTACTATCGACCGAACCATCCAGCGCAAATCCATTCGTGGTCGCCTTCTCTACCATGCTTTTCTTCCGTCGCAGAGTCTGTGTCGAGGGGGGTTTCTGTGAGGGATTGTCTGTCGCAGAACTAGACTCGTCGTCGTAGTCTTCGGGGAATTGGGACTTGCGACGGTATGGGCGGCGTGTACCTGGCGTCTGTACGAGGCCAAGGTGGTCGGTCTTTCTGTAGAACATATAAGTTAATGATTATTTTGTGATAACAATCTGCGGTGATGTTTTACTTGGGGGTCTGCCGTAAAGAGTATCGTCCAGACATTTTGATTTGGACTGAGGGCGAAGGAATAAAGTAGTGACGTTATTAATTTACAAGAGCCGAACTGAGAAGGAAAGATAAAAAGAAGTCGGATTAATTATAAAGTTGTGTGTATATGTATATCCAGGTATTGATGCGCATGGCGATGCATCTGGTGCAATTCGTGTCGTGCCGTTGCGTGAGGTGAGGTGGAGGTTGTGAGGAGTGAAATGATGGGGAAATTTTATCTTTTGTTGACCTGTGTTCAGATGCGAAATTTAGCCGCGTTAATTAGGAAACGCGACGCGACGCGAATTGGCAAATCACATCGCTCAATTAACTATTGGCCTGCTCAGGACGTCAATTGAAAATGCCCTCATCTCATCTCATCTAGTGTACATCCACAAGCACTTTCAACCCTCTGCTCTTTAGTTCGCAAGCTTCACTTTTATTTCTCAGGGCTGCCTCGCTATCATTAGATAGATAGCAGGCAGACACAACCAACTATCATACACTACAGCTTGCCACCAATATGCCACTTTTATGAACATCGCATCTTTACCAAATGTCTCTGCGCTTTTCGCCATGCAAAACAATGTAGCGGCAAACCCAGGAAGTGTACAAGCCACGTCTCCTACTTCACTCCAAAATCCGGGGTGGATGCGGGCAGCACGAAGTCTTCAACCACAGCCCTCGAAGCATTGACCCGTCAATGCCTTCATCAACTCAGTCAACTCGCCACATCTCTCCTCCCGCACCTCATATCTTCTGATAGAACAACAGGTAAGCAACCTTGTTGTCCTTGACCGAGAATTTCTCACTCTTAGTCTTAGGCGTCGAGGTAGAGGTAGAGGTACCGTTGACTACATTCGACCATTTCTTACCTGGCCCGCTTGCCTGCTTCCACCCGTCATTCAGGGTCGACTCTTCTTCATCATTGATTGAAGAGAACATGTTGCCTGATGATGGGGTGTCCTTTTTTTGGGCTTCCAGTGCAGCAGCGAGTACCTTTGGATCCTCCTCACTTCCACCCTCAGCAACATCCTCACTCCTGACTCTTCTAATCACTGTATCGTCAAGTCGAATCCACTCACGCCCATCTTGCCTTCTAACATCCACCGTATAATGACCGCCACTTGCGTTCTTGCCGTGGTGGTAGACTACTGCAATCAGGCGATATTTGGGGAGTCCACCATGAGCATATACGCCTCGCTTCTGTCGTGGAAAGACCTCCTTGGGGATCTCAAGCTCCAGGGGATAGCCCACCTTCTTCCATATCTTTTGCGTTCCACCGGCGTTGTCGTATTGGAATCGCTTCAGATGCAGAATGAGAACAGGTGGTAATGTCTCGATGAATACTTGCTTCGTAGCAGTGATGTTCGGTCCTTTGGGTGATTTGAAGTCTCCATGCAATGCCTCGGATCGGGTGAGACCCTTCAGCGCATCGATGATATTGTTGACGTTGGGCGCGCCAATGTCAAGTTGTAAAGGCTGGTATGGCTCGAGAGTAACGGAATCTTTCAAACCTGGAACTCGAAGTTCAGATCTGAGATTGCCGCCAAAAATCTTGGTAATCGGAGAACCAGTGACAATGGTACCAGAAGACCTCGTAATTGCAGCCTTTTGTTTTGGGCCAACCTCCAGCCAACCATTCTCCTTGCCCGAAACTGATCCTGCAATACTGCCAGTATCGCTCGTAGGAGACGATGGGCCGTTGGTAGGGGTTGCAATAGCTGAAGTCGTATTCGATGTACTAGCTCGCATAACCTGTACGCATTCATCGTGAAGTCCTTCAAGTAGAAAGCCAAGAAACTCCTCGGCATCTTGTTGATGACCTCGCTAAACAGAATTAGTTGACGCATTCAACAGACGTATGGGTTACTTACTCTCATGCTCGAGAATCTTGGCAATCTCTTAATGACATCGTAGACGAAATCGGGGGTGAAGGGCTCGCCATATTGTTCAAGTTCTCCCTCCTTGAGCCGCAGCTTCAATTGCTCGACTGAGGTTGCAGAGTCAATGATGGGAAATTCTCGCATGAACATGATCCTATATTAGTGGTTAGAAATGATGTCCCGAACGGAAAGGTTAGACTTACATGGCATCAATCAGTGGAGTTTCGCTCTTGAAACTATATGTTGTCTGCTTGCCAACCTGGTTGAGAAATGTAAAGAAAGGATCGCAGAAAACGAGAACTTGCAATACCTAGAAGCCATTAGATAGGACTTCGCACAATGGTAGGTTGGATACTTACAGAATTCATATAGCACATATTGCCAGTGTTGACCAATCCTCGGGGCTCCAAAAAAGATACTTTGGTATCATTAGAAACAGCACTGAAAGTACGCAATGCCTCAACCAGAGATTCCGCATTGGACTTGGAGTTTCCAGAGACAGCTTCAGCTCCTGATCCACTCGTGGGATGTGCATTTGCAGAAGCATTGGGGTTGAAAAGACCAGTCCAAAGCTTTGGGGTTTTCCAGGCTTGAGGAGATTCCACCACTGTCTCCTCTGTCGGGCCTTGATTATTCCCAGTTTGGGTATCCTCCTGTGTGCTTTCTACCGTTGGGTGTTCTGATTGAACTTCCTCGGGGGCTTTGTGAGTAGCTTGCTTTGATGTATCTCGAGGTGCGGATTTAGGCAATGCAGATATAATTGGTACGGCGGGAACGGTAGGATTCCTCGTTGGTTTTGCGGCCAAGGGTGTGATCTCCTCATCAGCTGTAGTGGACGTCTGTTGTATCGAGGATGGAGTTGTGGGGGTGGTTGAGCTGGTTCCTTCGGATTGGGGGTGGTTTGTAGATGGTGTCTCGGGACGAGGAATAGCTGCGTCTGATGTTTCGGCTGAGGAGGTTTCTTCGATATTCAACATTTTCCCCAATGGATTCCGAGGGAGCTTTACGGATTCGGCTGGAAGTTCTGACGTATGTTTTCTTCTTCTTCTAGATCGCTTGGTCGGCCATGGAAGGTCAGGTCTCGAAAACCAAGGTAACTAAGCTCGAATTAGTATGTTATACATAAACCTACGAAGGGTAGACTTACTGGTGCCCGAAACGGCTGGCGTGGGGGTGGAGCTGGGGGTGCTTGAGGAGGTGATGTAGGTGCCACACTCAGAGCTGGCTGGGGTGTTGGGGGGGTCATAGGTCGAGGAACGGTGTGCGTCGATTGTGTAGAGGAAGGGGTCTGTGGAGGAGGCGGCGCTTGATATGAGCTTGCGACAACGGGCGATTGTTGCGGCCGTGGAGGATACGACTGTTGTTGGGGGATTGGTGGACGGGGGAAATGTTGCATCGGGGGCGGAGGTGGAGATTGAATATATGGAGGATATGGACCGTACTGCTGGTGAGGCATACCGGTATTGTGGTATTGGGGGGGCATTTGCTGGTGTTGTGGATAGAAATTCGCGTTGTACGGATTCGCATATGGATTATACATTTGCGGCCCAGGACCTGGAGGATAAGGTTGCTGATTGTGGTTGTTGTGGTGATGCTGGCTCTGGTTATACGGTCTCCTCCTGCCCATATCTGACGGCATGACTTGCCCTGCCGGCAGATGACGGCCGTTCATCATGCCGGCGTGGGAGGATGGGGGTGAGGTTGAGGTTATCCCAAACTGGCCGCGTTCTCGTTCTGGTTCTGGGGGCTGCGCGGCGCAGGGCTGTCGAGGTAAGATGGGGGCTTTTCGGAGACGGAGAACATTCAGCTATTATCAAAGTACGCGCTTACGCGATGCACGACGTAGGGATGAAGAGTTGAGAGGTTGTGATGTTGGTAGAAGCAGCGCGTGTTGTTGTCGCATGAGTATTGAGAGCAAGGCAAGGCAGCTTTCTGAGTATTCCCAAAATTATGGACCCAGCGACCGAGCCAGAGGATGACTGATGCACGCACGAGTGGATGGTGATTGGGCGCATTCGTATAGTCATTCACGAGTATTTATTTATATTTATATTACAGGATTTAGTTGGTAAGTTACCTTGTATCTACAAATCAATTATATAAAATGATTAAAAACATTTCCTAATCTATAATTTCTCTGCCAACAAGCAAGCAATATCAAACGGAATAATAGCTTCTTGCCCTTTTGATGACGGATAAACTGCCGGTTACCGAATGGATGTTCCGCCCCGCCAGACAACGAAGTGACTCCCCACCCCACTCCACTCCACTCACTCCCTCCTTCCCTCCCTCCTCCTTTCCCTATCAATAACCAGCGCCATCTGGCGTCTGCTTTGCAATTATACAAGCTCACTCTTCTCCCACTTCTGACGTTCGAGGAGACTGGCAGTTTGTTGCTTCTCTTTCATCCAGTTACTTGATATTACGCCGCCACCCTGGGCTAGTATCTACATCTACACCTACACTCCTACCCAGCAAGTACCCAAGACTCGAGTCAGTCCCGCCATCAACACGCCTTGCGGATATACCCAACCCTTTCGACTGTATTGCTCCACCAGATAGGTTCGTAGAAGGGTGTCTAATCCCATGTTTGGCAGTCTCTTGTCCAGCGAAGCGCCCATCAGCCCAGCTCACGACAATGACTTCTGCTCCCCTAAACGCGTCAACATCTGGTGGGAAATCACTCAATATCTCGTCCCATTCGTCTCTCCAACAACACCAAACTTCAATCACTTCTCCTGCCTTTGACTCGAGTTCTAGACGTTCTAGCCACCAGTCCACTCCTATACATACATCTGCCCGGAACAATCAGGTCCGCAAGAAGCACCACAAGAACTTCACGAAGCCGAGACTTGGAAACGACGACGAAATGGCGGAATCTGTAAGGCTATCAACCCAAGACTATGACTGGTACTAACGGCAAGCAGGGTGCCATGAGAAATGCCAACAGCCGCCGGGGTCAAACTTCTATTACCCATCTTATGAACTTCACTCTTCCCCCTCGACCTCAAGATTACCGAAACACCATTGCTCGCGGAACACGAAGGGGGAACATCTATGGTATTGGGTCCGGCCACCATTCCAGCGATAAGGCAAGGTGCGTCGTGCTCCATCTCCCAAATCGGCTCATCTAATTCAAACAGATACATACATGCCAATTACCGCTTCATTGTGAAACCCTACGGTAATTACAAGCCGCAAGCCATCAATGCCGATCAGCACCTCGACTGGAATGATGTCTTACAAATTCTCGCCTCTTCAGTATCTCAAGAAGCATCATGTCCAATTTGCCTCTCGCATCCTGTAGCACCAAGGATGGCAAAATGCGGTCATATATTCTGTTTGCCTTGCCTTATCCGCTACATGCATTCTACTGACGAGACAAATCCGCTGCCGGAAAAGAAGGCGCGCTGGAAAAAATGCCCGATTTGTTGGGATTCGGTGTATATTTCGGAGACGAAACCTGTGAGGTGGTACACGGGACAAGAGGGGGCTTCACCACGGGAGGGAGACGATGTTGTGCTAAGACTTGTGATGAGGCAGCCGGGAAGCACTCTCGCTCTTCCGCGGGATGGGGCCGATGCGCTCGGCAAAGCGGAAGATATTCCTTGGTATTTTGCTGCAGAAGTCACCGATTATGCTCGGATCATGAAGGGCAGTGAGGAGTATATGTTGGAACAATTCGATAATGAGATCGAGGAACTGAAACGTCAAGAGAACGAGGACGAGTTGATGTTTGGCGAAGAGCCCGAGTGGACGAAGAAAGCAGTCAATGCTGTCAACGCTGCAAAAGAGAACATACGGGGAGTCGGTGATCCACCATTAATGCCCAAACAACCGGCAGAGAAGAAACCGAAGCGGCAACCTATTCAGTTCAAACCGATCGAGAACGTGCCCGAAATTTACTTCATCGAAAACTCCTCGCAGTCAGGTCTTGACCTGCCCATTTTGCCATCTCCGATCTCCGATTCTTCTGAGCAGCAAACTGCCGCTCAACAACATCCGGCTCCCAAACCCCTGTATCAACATACTTCAAATGGAGCCCATCGCCCTGATGATCCGTACTTTTTCTACCAAGGTTTACTCCACTACTATCTTGCCCCCCTTGATATCCGAATCTTGAAATCTGCTTTTGGCAACTTTGCGTCTTTCCCTTCCACTCTTCTTCCTCGCGTTGAGCGCGTTTCTACAGGTCACATAATGGATGATGAATTACGAAAACGAACGAAATACCTTTCCCATCTCCCCTACGGCTGCGAAGTGGGCTTTCTTGAATGTAATTGGACCGATGTCGTTGCCCCTGAAATATTAGAACAGTTCCTACCAGAGATCGAGAAAAGAAGGAAGCGAAATAGAGACAAAGAGAATCGAGAAGAAAAGGATAGATTACGGGCAGAGAAAGCGGAAGATGAGGCGCGGTGGGCGACCGCGAGAAGGAAACGACCGATTATGGCTACAGAAAACTTCTCCGAGGACGACTTCCATCCCTTGGCTTCTTCATCACTTGATGCTACAAATGCATCTCCGCCGTGGGCTACTCGGCAAGGGTCATCATTCGCATCTCTTGCATCCCCTTCTACGAGCCCGTGTGCCCCGAGAACTGTGTGGGGAACTACCGTGATTGCGCCAGCATCCCCCGACTTCCAACCCCAGCAATTGGAGAACGATGGTGACGATGGGTGGTTACATTCTTGGGAGCAAGAAATACTTGCCGAGAACGAGCTCATTGCGCAGGTTCAAGCAACTTCATTAGGCGGCCAGGAGAATCAGAAGGTTGGACTGGGCGGACCTGTGAGTGGAGGTGGAGGGCAGCAAGGAAAGAAGAAGAAGGCGAAGAAAATCACACTCATGAGCACGAATGCTCGAAGAGCGGCTTGAATAGCGCATGGTCAGCGTTTTCAGGAATGCTTTCGGACTCGCATTGCTATAGCATTAAACATACTGGCGTATAAGGGAACGTGCACTTTGCAAAGGTCTTGTATTGGAAACATACAAAGGATAGCACGGATACCTGAACCTGTATCAGCAGAATCATACATCAACATCTGCTAATGTTCGAATCATAGTTCACCCCTGTGCGTTTGTCTTCTTCGTAATGGATCAAGTGGTGAAATTATTCCGTCTTACGTTTGGCTTTTCTGCTTCTTCCACAGCGCAAACGTGTCTAATCGACGATTGGAATTGTCAAACGAGCTCTAATGTTGCCGTGCGGCATAGATGTCCATTTCACACTGACTCACACCGAACGAAGGCTTTGTTCTCCTTCTATCATTCGCCAAATATGTTATGCTTTCTAAGGAAGCATGTTGCTTACCGTAAGAATATCTACGCGATACGGAGTACGGTGCACTTTCAATTTCCGAAGACCAGTAATTGGTCGAATAAAGAAAGCTGACGCAAGTTGAATTGATCCACGTGATAGCGCGTTCAACTTATATATTGTCGTGATACACCCTGTGTCAATATTTAGTCCTCACCTCAACTCACCTCATCAATCATCTTCATCTACTTCATCCACATCTCAAGCAAGATATACTCACTCCAATTCCCTACCTCGAAACCAATATCAACATGCCGATCGCACACATGAGCATCAATGTCGCCGACTTCGACGCAGCCAAAGCTTTCTATAGCGCCGCGCTCGCTCCACTCAACTACAAAGTAACCATGGAATTCCCTGGCTCCGTCGGATTTGGGGTCCCTGGCGACAAGTCGGATTTCTTTCTTGTTTCCAGCAAGGGACAGAAAGTACAGCCGGTGCATACGGCGTTTTTGGGGCAGAGTGAAGAGATGGTTCAGCAGTTCCATACTGCTTCTTTGTAAGTTGCGGTCTCATGTCCTATATTTATCTGGAGCAAAGGAGGCGAGGCTAAATAGATGGTTGGATAGGAAAGCGGGTGCGACTTGTAATGGGCTTCCCGGACCTAGACCGCAGTATGGACCGGGTTACTATGCTTCCTTCATCACGGATTTGGAGGGGAATAATATGGAATGTGTTTATTTTAAGCCGCAGTAGAGTAGCAAGCTAGTGGTGAAGTGGTTAGAAATCTCGAAACTGTGGATACTGCCCCATATATGATCGCCTCGCGTAGTATTAGGACAATAGACAATAGTAAAAAGATCCAACGGGATATTTGGTGGTTCCTACGGGAAAATTCCTGCGTTTCATTTGTATCTTTCTATGCCGCCCACAGTGGGTAAGATGGAAATTGGCGGAGGAGTTATTAGAAGTAAAATCCAGGTCTCTGAATAGCTTCAAATGGAATGGATTCTAATCTTAGTACAACGGACACACAAGTAGGTCAGTGCTAGTCTCGTTTATTTTTAGACAGTTGGGATACTTTATATCTCTAGCCTAATAAGTTATCTATGAACACTCTTTACATAATACGGATATTCATATACTTTAAATTTATAAAAGTAATAAGTTATTTAGATGGTTACTTTATTAATACTATTAATCCTTCTCAGAAGCCGCAGGTCCTACTCGTAGCATATACTCATTCCGCTAATATAATCGCGCTAATAATACGTGGGCTTTTAGATCATGGATATGCGTACCCATATTTATTATGGGTTAAAATAAACTCTACCCACTTAAAGGATTTAATTTAAAGCTGTATACCCTCCCGGAATCCTTGAATCCTGCGTGTTTGAGCCCTCAACCTTCTACCTTAAGCATGGATAATATAGTCATAGCCCTCGATTGTCTTTCGCGGGATATTTATCTAGTCCTACGCAATAAAAATTCCTTGGATTGCTTTCATATTTGTCTTCGGCTTCAAGCTTCCAGTGTTGCTGCACTTTCATTCCTCAAGTTAACTTTTAACTATGAAGCTCAGTACCCTCGCCGCTCTTTTGAACCTTTCAGCAACAAGTTATGCCACCCCATCGTATATACTGGATTCTTCATGTGCCGCATTCGAGGATGTTTTAACCTCGGCCTTCAAAGGAGCATTTGTTCTCGCTCAAGCGGGGGCAGATGCAATGAATAATGTTGCGGCTTCAGTTAATTTTGACTCAGACGCGTGGAAGGCCCAAAGAGACCTCGTCGACTATATGTTCCATGATGCACTGACAGATGAGGGGGCTCCCAATATCGATACGACCAATCCTAATGTATTTAAAACTTTTCTTTGTTTTCCTAAGGAGTTGATAATACTCTGTGGCTGCACAGCTGCCGTTGATTTTCTGAAAGAAACAAAAGACTGATGATGTGTTATTGCAGTGGATAATTGCGAGAGAAGTGTTCACCTCGATCCTTCAATATAGTAATAATAATGGTGAACCTACGCAAGCACCTCCAACGGAGCAATATGCTTCCCTCACTTCGGATAACCTCATCGTCTTTTGCGACCATACACGCTTTGAGATGGACCGCGACTGTGACCATAATGTTGAAGTTGGAAGTGCATGTGATACATATACATTAATAAGTGTTCCAATGGACCAAAATTTCGAAAACTGCCAGGCGCTCGACGGCTCCATAGAAGCTTGGGTACAGGAATTGACTCACGTAGGACATGATCGTGCTACCACGATGCAGTTATGCAACGGCTTATTATCACAAATATACAATGCAAAGTATAACACCTTGCAAGATATGGGAAACGCTCCAAGTCTGGCGCGCGATTGGGCAAAGTTTAAATCAACCAACAACATCGACGTACTTCCTATGGATCTGGCAGCGACTTTCGATCTTGTCTTGACACACGAACTGTCACATGCTATAAGAAAGCCAACTACTGACCTGGGGACGCGCGGATGGGACGCTTCGTACAGAATAGGTAGCGTCCAGAATGCCGACAACGTTGCCTTCTTTGCTCTTGGTGCAGATATGATTTCTCCGAAGAATGGCGCTCAAGCCCAACGACCAATGGAAGATGGAACAATTCAAGTCCTTGCTGGATTTTCGAGACGAGAACGAGACTATCATAATGATAATATTCCTTTTGGACCCCGAGCGGTGGACCTGAATATAACCTTGACTTCGTCTACAAGCCGCAATGCAACGGTCTCGAGTACCGTTTCGAGTAGCAGGTTATCGTCATCATCAGAAAAATCTTCGTCTTCTTCAATCAGCCTTTCAAAAGCGGTCTCGAGTATCGTCCTTCCCACACTCTTCACCAACTACTCCTCAGGCCTCAGTACCAAGTCTTTGAGCTCTAATATAAATTCATCAAGCCACAGAGCATTGGAAGGCCAAACAGCAATTACTGCTAGTTTGTCATCAAGATTATCATCTTCCAGCTCCGTATCTTCTTCAAAATCTCTTCCTAATACAAAACAATCTACCGCAACGACATCTACGGCGGGTAACTACACTTCAAACCACCCTTCGTCTGGCCTTGCACCAACTTCCTCAACATATACCCAGCCAATCCTAGTTATAAACTGGGACAAGGTGACACCAATTACAACTTCTGGGGTGTCATTAGCAACTCATGACTCCCATGGATGGCCAATCATTCCAGTTGCTCACTGTTGGTTTTGTCCTCACAATGAAGGTGGAGATACAGGAGGCGATGCTATTATTATTCCTAGTATTATAGGTATGTCCGAAAACCCACACCCTTTCTTCTCCTTTCTTTCCTTCTTTTCTTCTAATATATCATCAGGCCCTGGCATCCTACCCCCGCCTTCGCCTGGTGTGGAGCCTCCCATAGGATTGTCAACAAATATGCCAACAATTACGTTAAATGCAGCTGGAGATCCTACTTTTGATTCAGTAGAACCCACCAACCAGCCGACCAATTCCGCCACATCTACGACTTCAGAATCCAAATCGAGTAGTTCCAGTTATTCTAGTAGCTCAAGCCATTCCAGCAGTTCTTGCTCGACGCATATATCGAAGGCCTGTGACATGTCATATTCGATGTTATCCCCAACTAGCACAGGCACAGCATCATATTCTACCATTACCCTTTCATGCTCAACTATAACTGCTTGCTCAGCTTCCCAAAGTAGATCCTCGACTTCAGGATCCTCGACTTCAAGGCCGATAGTATATACAGCAACACCTTTTATGATTCTGGCAAGGCCGCGACTTATTGGACCGCGCAGCAGAGTATTCTCTCGAAATTAATAGCTGATAAGACCGACCCCTATATCACTTGGTCCTCCAACACAACATACGTGGCTACCAGCCGGACCGTAAGTGGTAAGGTCAATAGCGCAAATGCAACATCGACGACAAGTTTGACCTCTAGTTCGCAAAAATCATCCGTTAGTATTGCAAAGTCCGCAGAATCCAAGACAACAACAGAAGCAAAATCTAAGAAAGCTACCTCATCTTCCGGCATCACAGCTATCGTTACGTCTTCCGTCAATAGCACAGCTCCAGTGATAACGTTATGCAGCTTATCTACTTACTCGGCTCTCAAATCAACCTACTCCAAATATACAATCGATGTCCCAGCTTCGATAGGCTGTGCCTGCAATGATGGCTGGATAGCTGGCGTCGGCAGTATAGTTGGCTCAGATTCCTCTACGACTTATACCTGTCAAGTTACATCAACAAATATTGCTATTAGCACCGCAGCTCCTGAACCTGTCACAAAAACCTCGCAGTCAGCCGCAACAAGTACGGAATCGCCTGCATACCAGACAGATAAATGCAAGCTGCATATTTTCCAAGTATCAAAGGATTATATGTCACCTTTATATGTACAGTTGAACACTACGGATCGCAATAACAAACTCCTTACCAGTAAAGACTTCGAATTAAAATGGGGCGGCACTGCGAATATTTCTTCCGGCGATTCTGGAGTGGGACAAGATGTCAATGTCGACTTTACACAGGAAAGACAAAGCAGCGCCAGCAGAAAGCTGCGACCCAGAGTAGGGGGGCCTGTGGAGGCGCCAGATTGGCAAGCTTGGATTGTTCGCATAGCGGTTGGGAATACAGAATGGAGTAGTAAAGATACAAAGACTTCGGACCCGTATTGTAATGTGGGTGACTGGGATAATGGCGACTTTGCGGACTTTTTAGATGGTATCATAACGCTGGGGGCGAACCAGTTCTCACCGGTAAGTTCCTTTGGCCTGGTCGATAGAAAGTTTGCAGATGCTGATCTAAACAGACTCGACAGATGGATTGTTACTGGGAGTGCTAATTATAAGCGTTGTTTTCTGCAACATGGGTAGTGCTTTAGATGTATAGTATGATGCGGTGGTAAGTAGACTTGAGAATAGCTTTGTAAATGGAAGAACTCTTTTAAGGCAAAATAGAAAGTTTATATATGGAAGTTTCAGAATCATCTACTAAACCCTTTGGACCCAAGAGTCAGATATAGGAAACTCTGGCTGAATTTCTCTTCTACGCAGTTATTTGCACATTTAGAGACGATCGAAACTTTATTTGGTATTTAGATCCAGCAGATCACTAGATTATCATCGTGAATACTCATAGAAAAAGCAGGACTCAAAGTATAGGGGCTGAAAAGCTATGGTAATTCCCGTTTTCTTTTTAAAATCTCTCCTGATTTTACATCCTTTATTAGTATTTCTGACTACAATAATACTCCGTACAGTAGCGAATGGTAAGGCAGAGCGTGGTGACCTATTTTTAGTACCGCCGGACAATTAAGACGAAAATTTCATCTGCACCTCATTAATCTCATCCATTTTCAATAACAATTCGGCTTCAACTACTTCTGCGCATATTACTGAGAGGTCGTCTAAGCACCATGCTTTGCTCAATCTGCCAGTCAATAGACTTTTATGCCGCAAACTGTCCCCCCTATCCCGAGAGTGGAGGGGCAAAGCATCAACCCACTTCTCAAGCCTTGGCACTATCAGCAAAAAATGGCTGCGAGCTGTGTGGTCTCATCTGGTCCAAGGTACCTGATAATAAAAGACCCAGCGGAGTATTCACACAAGGAGGTACAATCCTTTGTAATCTCTGGAACTGGTATGATGGACCCGTAGAGGAGTATAGAGGTAGTGCAACCATCATATTTCGCGACGAGCGGTCTCAATGGAGCGTCATTCTTAGTATATCTGCTGAAGAAGGTTTGTTTGTAAAACCCGTAGATAATTGATAGTAAGTAACTCTAACTTTAACAGATTCTGAGCTTGCTGTTGCGAATTTAATTAGTGGAAGAATAGCGCAACCATCGGCGAACTCACAAGCTTGCTTTGACTTGTCAGAAAAATGGGTAAATAGTTGCTTGAGTACCCATAACTCGTCGTGTCCTCATGATGCTACCGCAAGTCTACCCACTCGGGTTCTGGACGTAGGGACGAATGGGAGTTCAAAGCAGGTTAGGTTGCTTGAGACCAAAGGCTTGGAGGGAGTCTGGGTAGCTCTAAGTCACTGTTGGGGTCGAACCGCGAGATATGTCACCGAAACCAAGACCCTCCAGCAGAGGATTGAGGCTATAGCTCTTTCGGAGCTTCCAAAGACATTCCTGGATGCTGTTATCATCACGCAACGACTTGGATATCAATATCTCTGGATCGATTCGTTGTGCATTTTACAGGATTCCAATCAAGACTGGCTGGTCGAGTCAAGGCAAATGCAAAACTACTATTCGAAATCTGTTCTGACTATCGCATCCGATCTTGCATCTGGTGACCACGAGAGCTTTTTGGACAATGGGAGATCCCCAGTTGTACCGCTAAAGATACCTTTCACCGCAAAGAATGGCACCAGTGCAAGCCATGTCTACATATCCAATCAAGTGAAAACCCAGGGGCCAGATTCACCTCAAACGCCACTTGGTGTTCGTGGTTGGACGTTACAAGAAGACGTCCTATCACCTCGGACACTCCACTATACCTCTGCCGAACTCGCCTTCGAGTGCCAGCGATCCAGATTCGCCGAGACAGACGTAACACCGCAAGGATATACCGACAGCGACGCGATGGGATCCATCAAACGCTTCTTCCTGAAGCCCGAATCCGGTTTCCAAGATCCACTTGTCCTCAAATATCCCACTTTCACAAAATACTATCAACCAATCCAGCGATGGTATAGACTATTTGAAGTCTACTGCACGCGGCTTTTGACCTTCGAGTCTGACAGACTTGCCGCAATTGCAGGCCTAGCAAAGGAAATCCAGCGCCAGACGACCTTTTCGTACAAAGCCGGGATTTGGCTGGAGAACATACACCACGGCTTGCTGTGGGCAGTGAACGGCCGAGGTGAAACGCCAGACAGGTATAGGGCGCCTTCGTGGAGTTGGGCAGCGCTAGATATGAACTTCTACTGGGGAAATAGTACCAATCCTGATTTCCAGCTGTATATGCACAGCCTTTGGATCAGCGACACGAACGCCGGTGGCGTGGCGGAGATACTGGGCTGTGATGTCCAGACTGTGAATGGGGATCCGTTCGGTGACGTGATGGCTGGCCAACTGCGACTTCGTGGATTGGTAATGCCACTCAACGAATGGCGGGGAACAACCTCGCCTTGTATCAATACTTTCTGGCATCCTGTAGCATACCATCAATGTCCAGTATACCGTGAAGGCACATCCGCACCTGGTGGTTTTAGAAGACCCATGGCAGCAGATCAATTGGTTCTCGACTTTGATGTAACTCCAGAGGAGGTCGAAGATTCCGATACTAACGAGGACGATGATTCAGGAGTAGTCTCGGATGAGGAAAGTAATGAGGATGAAGTAGAGGTAGCACTAAGTAAGTACCCTTCGAATATCATCCTACTCCAGATTAGGAGGGTTGGCGTAGGTGAGAAGTCACTAGCGGTGCTTTTTTGTTTATTATTAGCACCACGTCATGATGGAAGTCAAGCAGAGTACTGCCGAGTCGGTATAGCACAAGTACCAGATATAGATGGCTTAGGCCGTGATGGGTGGATGGAACGAGAAATAACGATCTATTAACGTTCAACGGTTGCAAATATGTATGGGTAGACTGTCCGTCTCTGTTCTGGCTCTATTGTAGGTTGAGGTTGCTCATCAATGGGTCGTCTCACTCGTGGCTCAGGCGAAACTATAAATATTAGAAAACTCCCGAAATGACTATAAAACATTCCAGCAGAATGCTGGAGCCCCAAGCTAACTTTCAAATCAATCACAACCCGTAACACCTGCTCCGTGTCTACTTGATCCTCCTTATACTCATATAGCTCATCGTCAATAGCTTAATCATAGACACTTCCAGCTATCCCATCCATGTTTGTTGAAACCCCAGAACCTTGAGAAATGATATAAGGGGAGGATATGACACCAGTCTAAACCTCGATATCCCCCAACGGACTCCTCGCAATCCGCATTGCAACCTCCAACCTCCCAATCTTATCATCCGCCTCCCTCCTAACCACAATCACGCCCTCATCCTCACCTCCCAGCACATCCATCTCCTCCGCCTTCAAGCCAAGCACAAACTTCGTTGACAGACCGAGAAGCGGTCCAGACGAGTCTTGCAGGAAGGGTTCGGTGATGTTGTTGCCGACGTCGTAGATGAAGTTGCTGAGTGCAATTTCATAGTACGCTTTTAGCAGATCGTGGATCTCATCTTCGACGTTCTCGCGCCGGTCTCCCGCGTAATGGATTTCGTTGAATAGACTTCCGATACTGTTCTCATCAACTACTGCCCAGTTCTCATAACTTTCTGGTCCAGTGGCAAGCGCAGAGCCATTTTTTATTAAGCTACTGACGAAAGTTGATGATGGGTTGGATGTTCTGTAACGCTGTAGAGCGTTGATGAAGCGCATCATCTGCGCTTGTCTGACTTTGCCCAGGAAATCATCGGTATTGGTTTGCAGAGGCTTGCTTTTTAGAGGGTCCTTATTTTGAGGGTCTTGATTTCCGCACAGCGAACGCATTTTCTGCAGCACTTCTTTCCGGGAGTCTTCGGCGAGGGTAAGGATGCGTTCTTGAAGTCCCGCTCTGGTCTTCTCGGTAGTCCCCGCATTCATGCAAGCTTTCTCGAGTATCTTCAACGAAACATCCGTGGTCATAGTAACGAGACGCTGAAGATATTCATCACCCAAAGCCTGCCATTTACCGGTCTGTTTCCGCACGAGTGGCTTTAGAATTGCGGGGTTCACCATACCGGGGAGCTCTTCGCCGCGATCCGTTTCAATTTGAGCGCGGATCAAATCGTAGAGGGGGTTACGTTTAGTTTTTGTGTGCGTAGGCTTTTGCTCGCGGGGATGAGAAGGAGATTGAGAGGGTGTGTAGAGCCCACGGCGACGAATTGCTGCGCCTTGGGGGCGGTAGGGCTGTTTCGTTAGGTTCTGGGTTATTGATTGGGCGGGGTTACTTACTGATGGAGAGAGGTTGTCTTGCCGGAAAATGTTAGATAAAGGATCCGAGGACTTGTGCGCGGATTCGGGGTCAGATTCATCGCTATCGACTTCCGATTTATCGCTAGGAAGGTAGCCGAGATGCTGGCAAACCTTTTGGGGCTTCTCAATTTCAAGGAAATTGTAAAGATGTCCCTTCTTTTTCATATCCCGCTCAAAAGCAAGCCTATCGCCATTGACCAATCCACGAAGTTTCATGTCATCATCCTCAAGGTCTGTCGGAGACCTCAATGCTTGAAGGGCCAGCGTGCGGTATTTCTCCACGATGTTCACGAGATAATCTTGCTTGTGGAGGTGGTCAACCCGTGGCTCTCCCATGCCTTTTCGACGAAGTTTCTCAGCATCGAGAAGCTTTGTGATCATATTGAGCATTCCGGGAAAAGCATCGTGAATACGTCTGCAAAGAAGAGTTGCCAAGTACTTCTTCAACATGGCGGTACCCCGTTGGTCTTCTGGAATATCCAACCAAGGGTCTTGGTTAAAAAGGGCAGCTTCCTCTTGCTCGCGGTCGTAAGCAACACCAGCTCTGGCTGGTCGATTTTGAACCACGTACCATCTGCGGCGCTTTCCACCAATAGCATCAGGATTATTTACATGATTGACAATCTGCGGAAGGTTAGGTGGTTGTTCAACTTATCATGGAAAGACATACATCGACTGGAGGGTCCGCTTTGTCACATTTTGTAAACACTCCAACGATCCTTGAGCTATCAATGTCTCTTGCCAATGGGAGGATGTTCTCATTTGCAATATCGCCAGATGCATCGGCCACACATCTTTGAGATATATCAGTCGAGAACGTAGAACAGTGCTGTATGTACTCACATAATAATGTTCTCCGGCTTGTTCATATACGAAGTCACCATCTTCGTCACACCATCTTTCTCTCGTCGAGAAACGCCACCAATTTCAGCATTGAAAACGCCAGGGAGATCGAGAATACCAAAGTGAGAACGATTAGGACCAGAAAGTTCAATTTTCAAAACTTTGCTAGAATAGTTTCTATCTTCGGAGGTACCATTTGATGTGATTCCCATAGCCTCTTTGGCCTAGAGACAATTAGTAGCTGAGATGTCTACACGCAAAGAAAGGCCACTTACATCTTCAATAAGATCATCAAACGTTTCAGGGGTAAAGTCCGAGACCAGTCTTCCAAAATCTTTGATACGACTGTCATCGTCTCTGATAGAAAATGGGTTAATATCGCCCGATTCTATCGAGGCATATATCTTGTCTTTGCTTCCTGGAGAAGTACGTCGAGAAACAATTCGCATAGCAAATTGAGTGCAAAGCCTGCTACCGACTGGGAAAGGAATATCCGTTAAGCTTTGCAACAAAGATGATTTTCCAGCAGATTGCTTGCCGACAATGACAAGTTGGGGGATATCGAGATCTTGACCTGCACCGCACTTTCGAAGTTTGTCTGGGTATGAAATCAGAATGGCAGAGAGAATTGGGATAAAAAGGTATACCAATTGACTCGAACAATTTCTGGCTGTCCTCATTGCCGAAAGGATCTTCACTGAGAATAATATTACTGTCGGAAATAGGCCGGCTATCTTCCTCGCTAGACTCGAAGTTTTCATCTTCCTCAGCCCTGTCCATCTCCCTGTGAAGCTGGCTGTCTGGTGATTCATCATCACTGGCAACACTTTGTGCTCTGCTGCGCCTGGAAGAAACTTTTTGAGAGCCGAACATATTGGTGGTTGGTAATGGATGTTGTAATGTGATTGAACTGAAGAGATTCAAGATGAAATATTGTATATTGTATGCTATTACTCGGGGATGTTTTGGTATTTATATTCGTGTCATCTATCCAGGATAGCATAGTAAAATAGAGAAGAGACAAAGGCCTCACGAGTAACCCTGAGCGAGGAGAGATACACCTCATACGAAACATATAGAGTATGGAAAACACTTGAAGGCTATGCATGAGCGCTTGCCAGAACTCGACGAAACAGAGTGGAAGTGGAGGTCATGTCGTTGGTTCGAGCCAATCAACAGTAATTATGCTAAGCCACCAACATTTGGACGTGGGGGCAATGCTCCAAGTATGAACCTGCTATAAAGGCTTTCACAGGGACAATAAATAAACTTACAGGATGACACACACGCAGAAGAGAGATGTAAATATAAGCAATATAGTGAAAGAACGATTGATTTGGTGATGGGATAATGGTACCATCACGGAAAGCAACTTGTTAAGCTCTTCAACCCCACCCCGCCTCCACGGCATCGATACTGGTCACATAAAAGACTGGAAGCGCAGTAGAAACATGAAACAGAAACACAACTCCACACCAAGTTGATTCATGATGAGTTGACTGGGCAATGATTTTCACGAGGGAGGTCAACTTGGACCGACCAGGTCGACCAGTAGCGTATACGACGTTCTGAAGCATCTCAGCCTCGTCGGGAGCAGGGAAGCACGTGGCTGAGGTGGAGGTTGCCCAGTAGGAATACACCTGGGCAAAGGAAGCAGTGGAAACATGTTGGTTTTGTGTATCAAATCGTTTTGGTGAAGGGATTGTTGGTAGCAGGAGCGTGTCATCTGGAGAGTTGAAACTAAACACAAGATGTGTTTAACGGGCAATATACGAAGAGGAAGGAGGGAGGGATTAGATGAAGAGGATGGATGGATCATGGGCATGGATGAAGGCATGGAGTACAGTATGGAAGATGAAGACTTGAAGTCCAGCCCAGCCCAGCTTTGTCATCAATCTGGACTTAATCACGTGAAGGGATTAGCCCAACGCTAGTCCGGTGTCCCCTGTCAATGCACATCCCAATCAGGCAAGTTCCAAGTAGGTGGAGAGTGAAAGTGGGGCTGCGGCAATGGAGAAAGTTCGTGTTCATCCCAAACAGCGCCCATGCGGAGATTGATCAACAGGGAAACACGTGAAATTGGGACAAAAGGGGGGAGATGGCATGAAGCTTGTTTGTTGAAGATGATGACGAGAGAAACATCGTAGGAGAGAGAGAGAGGGAGAGAGAGGGAGAGAGAATAAGAGAGAATAAGAGAGAAAGAAAGACAGGAAAATATTCTCACTCACCAGTGCCGTGCTAGAGTCTAATGCAGGAACCAGGAGAATTTTCTCTTCTACCACACGAATCATGTCCAAGTCTTTCTCTACCCTCCAAGTGAAAAATGGACACACGATTACGCCTCTTTCACCCATCCACGCTCATCTCGCCTTCCCATCCCGCCCCGCCAAGTGCGCCTACCCCCAGTTGTCGCTTCCCATTCGCTCGTCCTCGCATCCACCCTGTCCCCCATAAATAACTTCCCACACCTGCCCATCCTTCGTCCCCCCCTTCTTCTTTTCCTTCTTCACCACCGCGGTCAATACACACACGTCCACGCCAACACGATCGACTCTTTTCAGTCTTCTTCCATTCCAACCCTTTGTTCAACTCCATCGTTACGGTTGAACTTTTGAATCTCTTTCTACCACCATTTAATTATATCAAACCACACTCATTCCAATCACACAGCAACACCATGCATTTCTCCGGACTTCTCGCTGTCGCGGCCTCGGTTGCCTCGGCCTCTGCTGCGTCCCAAGGTTTCAACTACGGATCCACCAAATCCGATGGAACCTTTTTATACCAGGCCGACTATGAATCTCTATTCACTGCTGCCCAGGGTTTAACTGGCACCAACGGTGGATTCACCAGCGCCCGTCTCTATACCACCATCGTATGTTGACGCGTTGAATCACCCCCATCTCAGAATATAATGCTGACAATCTTCTAGCAAGGTGGAAGCTCAACCAACGAACCTAGCGAAGCTATCCCAGCTGCTCTCAAGACCAAGACCTCCCTTTTGCTAGGTCTTTGGGCAACTGGTACCGATGGAGAATTCGCTGCCCAGATCACCGCCTTGACAACCGCTCTTGGACAATGGTCTGGATGGACCGACCTCGTTGTTGGTATCTCTGTTGGAAGTGAAGATCTCTACCGTGATTCTGCCACGGGTAAGGCGGCCAGCGCCGGTGTTGGAGAAGACGCTACTGTCCTTCTCGCACGCATCAACCAGCTCAAGGCCGCTATCAAGGGCACTGCGCTCGAGCAGGTGCCTATCGGCCACGTCGACACATGGACTGCGTGGACCAACGATGGAAGCCCTCCTACCGATGTCATCAGCGCTATTGACTGGCTCGGAGTTGACGCTTACCCATACTTCCAAAACACACAGTCGAACGCCATCACCAGCGGAAAGTCGCTGTTCGAGCAAGCTGTCTCCAACACTCAAGCAGTCGCGAACGGCAAAGATATCTGGATCACTGAGACCGGATGGCCCGTCAGCGGATCGGTCGAGAACCTTGCTATCGCTTCCACCGATAACGCCAAGACCTACTGGGACGAGGTTGGATGCCCACGATTCGGAAACGTCAACATCTGGTGGTACACTCTTCAAGATGCTGCACCAACCACTCCAGTCCCATCTTTCGGTGTTGTTGGCAGCACTTTGAGCACCACCCCTCTTTATGATCTCTCTTGCAGCAACGTCACATCTTTAAGCAGCAACGACGCATCTTCTTCAAGCAGCAGTGCATCCGCCTCTGCTACTTCCAGCGGCGCAACTACTCTAGCAACCGCTGTTGTATCATCTGGTAGCCCATTGACCCCAACTCAGGGTAGCGGCGTCTATGGCAGTGGTAACAGCTCCTCTGTTCTAGCTACTGGTACTGGAGGGTATGTTGCATCCAAGTCAAGTTCTGTTGCTACTGGTGGATCTAACCTCACCAGCTCCAGTGGCTCGAGCGGAAGTGGTTCAGGCAGTGGAAGCGCATCTGCATCAAAGACCTCTGGCCCAACTTCTGCGCCTGCTGGTCCCACAGCCACCACGGCGAGTGCTGCATCTTTCATGTCGGCATCCTTGGTCGCCGCCTTCGGTGCTATGTTCGTTGCCGTCTTGACCCTGTAAATCAATGATAATACTTTAATTGCGGAGCTTGGCCATGGCATGGATATATTACTTTGGGAGGATCAGAGAGGACTCTGAACTGTAAAGGATTTTGTTTTTTGGGGACCAGTGATGCATCAAATACTGTAGAGGAGTTTAATTCTGGTCACTGTATTTCATAGATGAATGAAAAGCAATTGTTTAATTGTGTGGTACTGAATATTTGTAGTCGTGATGTGATGGCAGCGAAAGCTGAAATTTGTGTGGCAAAGATTCGTAGCGTAGACATGCTTCCATGATCCGCCGTATAGCAATACCTAATCACAGCCCCTCACTATTCAAGTGCAATGTTTAAAGATGGAGTATTTTACGATAGTGGCCCACTTACTGGAAGCTGGAGTCTGGAGAAGCGGCGTTACCATGCTCGATTGTTGATCTTTGTCAGAACACCTTTGTACGGTACCTGCGCATGAAAGAATCCGATGAATACTTTTCAAATTAATTATATAATACGCCGTATGGGTATATTATATATGCACAGCACAGCCCCAGCGCGTCGGTTCCAGGTAATGCGCTGATATGGAGATCTACAGGCTGTGGATTGCCCCCCCCCCCCCCCCAGAAACAAACAGCCTAGACTAGACTAGCAGCCGCCTTCCTTCGGGGTAAAGTACAGCTGGAGTACATACAGTAACGAGATCTAGCAGCTGACAGGCGGAATGATATGCGGACCTCATCATTAATTACGACTACAAACATTTCACGACTCACGACTCCAACGACCACAACCACCACCACGACGTCCCTTTCTCTCGTCTCCTGTCGCTACTCCCCATATCCAACTCCCCCATCGATGGTCTGCTATCTGCCAAGAACTTGACCTCCACCCATTTCCTTTGCATCCCGGTGCACCCGCGAGAGCACAACATAATCACGACACAACACGATACCGAACAATCAACATGAAGATGCTATCCACGCTCATGTCGACGACGCTTCTGCTCGGTGGCAGCAGCGTCGTCTCTGCTATTGATGTGGATTTGACAAGTGCAAGTATGTGGGCAATATAATCAATCGAGGGGAAGCGTAGTCTGCATATATATGCTGACGAACGGGATAACACAGGTTCGATTAAAAGTACAGCGGCAACGATCGCATACGATATGATGCTCTACTATGCGGGGAACAAGACGGGCGGAATCATCGGTGTATTGCCTGGACCTCCTCCCAATCCTTCATGGGGATGTATGTGCTCCTATGCTGCGTACGTTGGACATTGGATGAAAGCTGACTTTGGCAGATTACTGGTGGGAATCTGGTGCAATGTGGGGGACTTTGATTGATTACTGGCACTATACAGGCGATACCAGCTATAACGACGTGGTTTCCAAGGGAATCCAGGCGCAGGTGGGGGAGAATCAAGATATGATGCCGTCGAACTGGAGTCAGTCTATGGGAAATGATGATCAAGGCTTTTGGGGCATGACGGCCATGTTGGCTGCCGAGTTGAAGTTTCCTGATCCCCCTGCAGGCGAGCCGGGATGGTTGGCTCTTGCTCAGGCTGTGTTCAATACACAAGCTGTTCGTGGGGATGATAAATGTGGTGGAGGGTGAGTATCTTCAATCATTTGCATAGGCTTTGCTGATGTTTTTAGATTACGGTGGCAAGTGTTCCCGTATCTCACTGGATATGATTACAAGAACACCATCGCAAACGGCTGTTTCTTCAACATCGCTGCTCGATTAGCAAGATACACTGGCAATTCGACGTACTACGATAATGCAATACGTACCTTTGACTGGGTTACGAATGTGGGCTTGATTGACGCAGAGTACAACGTATATGATGGAGCTCACATCGAATCGAATTGCACGGATATCAACAAGGTCGAATTCTCCTACAATGTAGCAGTGTGGCTACTGGGAGCTGCAAACATGTACAACTACGTACGTTCCCTTCCCTGATGCGCCCAGCTAAATGCTAATCTATATGTATATAGACTAACGGCAGCGCCATTTGGAAAACTCGTGTCGACGGCCTGCTCAACACAACCCTAACAACCTTCTTCCCCGATGGAATCGCCTATGAACAAGCTTGCGAGGCAAAGCTAAGCTGCACCACCGACATGTTTTCCTTCAAAGCCTACCTTCACCGCTGGCTCGCCTCGACCACCCAAATGGCACCCTATACCTATGATCTCATCATGCCCAAACTCAAAACCTCAGCCGCCGCAGCAGCACTACAATGCTCCGGTGGATCCAACGGCCGAGCGTGTGGATTATCCTGGAGTAAAGGAAGCGCTTGGGACGGGACGGCAGGCGTGGGTCAACAGATGGCGGCTATGAGTGCTATATTCGTAAATCTGCTACCACTAGAGAGCGTCCAACCTTCAGTAACGAACATGACTGGTGGGACGAGTAGCGGCAACAGTGATGCGGGCAGTCACAGTAGTACCAATCCGACAGCCGTCAAACCGGCTACTGGGGGTGATAAAGCGGGTGCGGGAATCGTCACTGCGATTGTGTTAGTAGGTGCTACTGGGATGTTTGGATGGATGAGCATTTGAGCAAGCGTAATCATCTTTTGCAGTCAGAACCCTTGATGAATTGGGTCTATTTTATGATCTCACCAGTGCTTGTTTTATAAGACAAGCCTGACATATCTATCTATCTTCTATTCTTTCTTTCTTTCTTTCCTGGTCGCTTGAGGTAGATAGCATAGGGGGTTTGATGATTGATTCTCTGGAGTACTCTCTCGTTTTTATGGATAACACATGTGGAGGAAGGCGGCTGGATAGGTGGCGTTTCGGGGTTGACATTGAATGGCATTGGATTGATTAGATAGTCTTTATTGTTCATACCAATATCCGCACTTGCACTAATGTAGTTTATTATTGCTGTCTGTTATATCCGATCGATCTGATCTGTTTTTGGGATTCATTTTCTGTGCTTGCGTTAAAAGGAGAGTATCATGCATGTATGTATGCACTTTCCATGGATGGATGCATAGAGGGTTGTGTGAAGATATATTGCTTGAAAGCTGATTCATTCCCCCTTCCCTTCCCCCCTCTCAACCAAGCTCAAGCTCAAGCTCAACCCTAACCAAATCTTGTCTCCTTATCCTCAACCGGAAACTCCTTCCCCGTCGCCCCCTTATACCTCCCGCGGACAAAATCAGAAATCTGCTCGTCTTTGGCCTGTTCGATTGCTGATTCGTTGTCTTGTTTGCCTTGGCCGAGGACTTTTTCTTGGAAGAGGTCGATGGCTGGTTGGGAGGGTTGCGTTAGGGAAGTTTATATTGGGGGGGTTGATGGATGGG